ATTCAACTCAAGAACCTTCGTTTGCTGACTTACTGGATGAGACATTGTGATTGTCACAACCTTCAAGACGACGCAACCGAGATGAAGACCCTCAAGAACGACATGTTCTTCCTCGAATAGATGGTGAGATACAACGCGTTTGGTATCACGACCTTGGAAGAGATTCTCGATGTTTGGTGATATTATTGGAGATAGGAACGACTCCTGATGGTGTTTCAAATGTATTATTTGAAGGAAGTTATGAAGGCCTCAACAGTGATCAAATAACAGGGTGGTCTTCTCGCCCTGGAATAGGACACTATCGATGGCTAAGAGGACCCATCAACTATCTTCGAAGAGAACAAAGATCAGAGTATGTAGCAAATACAATTCGTCGCATATTAGATTTTCTCAATATATAATCACCGCTCCTCGTGGAACTCGTCCCTAGAAGGGGGGGTAATGTCACGGACATACATATAATTACCTATATGAATAGATAAAAGTATGTAAAAGTAGATAAAAGTAGGTTAATTGTGTAATATCTTCTAGAGAAGCTTTTTAGAAGCTTCATAGACGCTACTTTGACTGTATAGGAGTCTATAGTTGACTTTTAGGTTAGAAACTTAGTCAACAAGTTAGCCATGTGCCACACATGTTGGAAGCTTAAAGAACAAGCTAACTACGTGGTCCATCCATAGAAAACTTGCCTTGCAAGCAAAGGCATGTGGCCTAGAAAGTCAACATATATTGGAGGTCTTATAGAACATCGCCACGTGGCTTTTAGTTAGATAGTATATATAGAGGCAAGAGTGAAGCCCTCTTCACTCTTGTCAACTCCTTTCTTGCTTCTAGTCTAGTTTCAAGGGTCTCTAGTTTTCTTGTATTTTGGCAATAGCCATTCCAGTTTCTTTCTTAATATACATATTTCTATTTTGTCCTATTTCTTTTTGAGAAAAGTCTCACTTACTCTTTAGCTTTCATCGAGTTCTTGTTCTTGACAATATTTAGTTATTTCTATTTTTTCATCTTTCTTTGAAAAAAGTCTCACTTGTTTATTTGTTTTTATCAAGTTCTTGTCCTTCACAATTAGTTGCAATTTTTTAAAATTATAATTTATATGATAATATTAAATAATTATCTAAATATAAAAATAAATCTTATTGATTGCGACATAAATAATATCATGTTTTTTTATATAGATAAATTTTTTTTCCAAAATAGCTTCTAAATTTTCTAATATTTGATTATATTATTTAATTAAAATATATATATATATATATATATATATATATATATATATATATATATATATATATATATACTAAAGCTTAATTTAAAAGCAATGTTCTTATAAACTTGACATGTGATTTTGAAATTGGATGATCCTAAGATTGAATCTTAATTATTAATCATATTTTATTGATAAATCATTGAAATTTTAATCTTATACCATTAAAAATTTTAAAAAATATAATTTTTTATTCTTTTATACATGTAGTGATGCTTGAAAAAAATGTTCTACTAAAAAAATAATAAAATAGCTTAATATAGATATTGAAGCAACTCCAATCATCTCTATATCTTTATTTTCTTGTCTATTATGGTGGTGAATTGAATTGATGCATTGCAAGAATTAACTCTATCACTTACTCTTTTTTGTGCTATTGGATCTTTTATTTTAACAAATCTTGTCATAATAACACAATAGGAAAAAAACATGTCCAATACCACATAGAAAAAATAAAAGAGAGGACTCAAGAACAAAGAAAATTTTAAAAAATATATCAATTTAAAAGTAGATAATTCAAAATTTCTAATAATTTAAAAAAATAAAAAATAATCAACTTTTAATCATAAAAAAGATAAATTTCTAATATTATAAGTATTATTCTTATTAATTTTTCAAAGACATGAATTATAAAATATCTAAAGAATCAATATACCATTTTGTTACTATAAATAATAAATATTTATTAAAAATAGATATAATATTAAAATTAAAATAATAATTACCAAAAACAAGAAGATTACATATTCTTCAACCAAGACTAAGTCAAAAAATGCATTTACAAGAGTAAAGAAGGTCTCATTCTTGCTTCTATATATACTATTTAAGTAAAGAATTATGTAGCGACATTCAATATATCATCCGACATATATCTAAATTATTATGTAATTTTTTAATATATATACTATATGATATCATAATAATAATTGATACTAATAATTATCTAAATAAGAAGAATTAGACAGAAATAAATAGAAGTAAGTAAATTTGATGATATCTTCTGAAGAAGCTTCTTAGAAGCTTTATAGATGCTAATTTGACTTTTTAAATGCTTTTAGGTGATTGACAGGTTGAAAAATTAGTCAACAAGTTAATTAAGTATTACACGTATTGATTATTTGTAGTATAAGTTGGCCATATGGCGTACATGTAGAAAACTTGTCTTGGAAGTTAGACATGTGTTATATAAGTTGGACACATGTTGGAGGTCCTATGAAACATTGCTACATAGTTCTTAGTTAGATAATACACATTGAGGCAAGAATAAGGCCTTCTTCATTCTTGTCAATTTTTTTTCTTTCTTCTAATTTAATTGCAAGAGTCTCTAATTTTTTAGTCTTTATAAATATCTATTTTATTTTCTTTTTATATGCATATATTTATTTTATTTTTTACCTTTTTATTTTTATCTCTCTATGATATATTTTTCACTTATTTATTTACAATCTTTGAATATTTGTCCTTACCATGTAGCAAACTTGTATCACAAGTAATTAATATATGCAACATGTGGCGAACTTCTTCGCCAAGTTTTCAACCTATCAATCACCTACAAAGAATTATAAAGTCAAATCCACATTTATGAAGCTCTTAAGAAGTTATTTCATAAGTTATTATCAAATTTTCCACTTTTACTTATTTTTATTCAATTCTTTTTATAGTAATATTTATTAGTAATAAAATGCTTATAAGCTTGTAAAATTTAGAATTAATTTATTTATTTTTTATATATGTTGACCTCAAACTATTAGAAATAAAATATAAAAAAGAACTTTTATAAAAATATTCTATATTTACAAATAAGATTACTTTTAAATTCAATATTTTAAAAACATTGTTATTATTATTAGTTTGAAGGCTTTATTTATAGATTATGTGGAATCAAATAAATAAGTTTGTATTTGAATTAGAAGTATGGAATGACCTTTATACTAAAATGTTAATATAAGAAAATCTCTTAGATTATGGACAATTGAATTAGTAGTTTCTACAAAAGAAAATATGTAAGTATTCTAAATAATACGTGTTTCTTTTAAAATGATGATAACAAATAATAAATGGAAAATCTAATAGTAGGTTTTAGAATATATATATATAAGAAGAAATTAAAATAGATATTTGTAAAGAATTTTTTAATACTGCTATAATGGTTTGATACTACATAAAAGTATACTTTTTTAAGAAATAATTTTATTTACTTTAGTTAATATTATTAATTATGTCCACTTGGATATCAAAGGTTAGGATGTTTTCTATAAATCTTTATAAAGATTAATAAGAAGAAAATATAAAGAGTTGTTCTTGCATTTAATAAATCAACATTAAACAAATTTTGGTAAACATGATAGAGATTTTTTTTATAAATCTATTAAATAAAAAATAGTACACGTTGGATAAAAAAATATTTAAACATTTAAGAGTAAAGATCTATGCTTGATACAATATTTTAATTTTATTTTGAACAAAGTTTACATTGCTACAAAAAAAATTAAGCATGAAAACTGCTATCATTTCTAATCATTTTAATATAAATTATAAGTTTAAAATAAATAATCTTAAAAAATCCAACAAAAAAAACATTAAATATAGATTGTAGTATATTTGTACAAATGTGTGTTAAGTGTAGAATTTTATCCAAATATAAATAAATATAAATTATATTTTTTCTGATATTCTTGTTTTATCATATATTATAGACTCATACTCTTGTTATGTAATTGATATATTTTATTCTAATTATTTATGAAATAACTAATGTTAATTTTTAAATTATTTTTTATTTTTATGCATTTAAATTTACACTAAACCTTTTTTATAAATTTATCTCATTAATCACTATATATTTCTTCAAAAAAATATCTTATTAATTCTTTTATATGTATTCATATGAAGATCAATACAATGGCTATAGTATTCCTAATTTTTATTTTAGTCATATTGATATATCTAATAAAAAACATATATATATATATATATATATTCTTATTTATTTATTTCAGCTTTTGTCGCATCCTTAATTTCTGGACCTTCTTAACCGCCCACCAAACAAGCAAGTTTGAAGGAAAAGAATGGATCTCAAAGTAGATTGGCATAGTCCATCCACCAAGGAACAAGCTTGTGACCTCTGAGGCTCTACCCCAATTTAAGGATATGCTTTTGGTTTGGTAATCACCAAAGAAGAAACCAAAAAAGAAAACCAAAAAAACCAAAAAAAATATGAAAATCAACAGCATCATGCATCACAACAAGAAACTTGCTCCTCATTCTTTCTATTTACAGAAATCATGGACTTGCTTTGTAATAAACGGATATAGGGTAACCCACTTGTGGTATATGTACGTCGCTACGTATACGAAGATATCGTATTTATAGTTCAGTATAATCACAACCCCAGTCTCCGAATCTGTCCTGTGTGCGTAGACTCTTCATCTTGTCGTATAAGACAAAACCATTTGTATGTGTTTATTTTTATATATATTTAATTGTATTTGATTATTATTCGAAATTTGACAAAGGGTTTCCACCCACATTCCAACCATAATTCGTTGCCTCAACGTTCCAAGTCAATCTGGATGAACGCGAAAATGTGAAAATGTACGAAAACATTCATTTTTAGGGTTGAGATATGGTGATTGTTTTTCATCTACGAACATCGCACGCGACAGAGCAAACGACACGGAGGACGAGGCCGCGGAGAATCGGAGACCTTGTCCACGCCCTCCGCCCAATTGCTCACGCTACAATTCGTGTCTTTAGACTCGCGTCGCTGCACACTGTATACGCCTTTCTTTCCCTCTCATTTGCCGCATAGGGGCTCTTCGTTCTCTGAGTTGGGTTGAATTGGGTACAACTGTGGGGTTGCTTGCGCGATCACGACGTGGGTTTGAGCAGGTCAGGTCTCTCGGTGTTTTTTCTGGATTCTGTTGGTATGGTTGAGTGAGAAGATTTTGTGTGTTTGAAGGCAGTTGTGCTAATTTGTGAGATTGCATGAATTTTGCAGGTTGTGGCTTATGGTTGATTTAACTCGTCGACTTATTTGGATCTGCCTTTGATGTGAACTGTACATGTGTGGGTGAAGTGGCTGGATAATCGGATATGTGTGCGTCGGTTGTTGGGATTCGTCTTGTCTTGGAGCAAGTTGTCTTGGGATAGATCTGTAGGCAATACCCTAGAGAGAAATTTTATGTCCTTGGCATTGGTTTTTTTCTTCTCATTGGGGTTTTTGCTCAGGATTTAAGCGTTTTGCAGAAATTTTCCCTGAAAACGCAGCTGTTGTGGACATTCGTTTTTAATTGGATTTTACTGAATCTTGGTATTTGCGTTTGTAGGCATTTGATATATTAGAAGACATATACAATGAGTTACGGGTATCCCAACCAGGGGCCTTCCCCGGCATACAACACCTATTTTGACGATGGTGAGCCCCTGTTTACCTCCCCACCAGAGGAGCACCGTTCAAGCATGAGAAACCCTTCATACAATCATACCACGAGCATGTTCGGAGCACCTCCCATGGGAGAGCCGTCCGAGCCAAGCGCCCACCCTGACAACAAAACTGCCGCAACACAGACGGCAGGGACTACTCCCGTCGTAGCTGCGGCGCCAGTGAACATGGGCGAACCATCTGTGGATGGATTGAGCCGGCAACCAAGCGGAGCTTTCGAGAGTTCTCACATGGGTGGGGTTGATGGGGGTTTACCCCAGCAATCCAGCACTGGCTGTAATCCGTCAACAGGAATTGATACTGCTCATGGGCCTTTTAGAGACGCTACTCATACTAGTGACTCTCACACATACCATTACCAAGCGCCTCCTCCTCAGCAGGCTGCGCCTGGCGCGGTTCCAGCGGGAACTCAGCCTGGAAGTCCTTACGTGCAGACCCAATCTGTTCCGGCTGGAGGATCCAGTAAGTAATTGGGGGATTTTGAGTAGTCTATTTTTTCGTCGCACATCACCTTCATTCGTAAATTTTAAGCTCAATTGTCACTTTGTACACGTTTGTGTGAGTTTTTCTAGAGTTTTCTAGAGAACGTGACATAAAACTACTGGGATTGATATGCCGAGTGCGATTGTGGCGGTCTTTCAGCAGTAATGGAAGTTAGATTTGGGTGGCCTTGCGATCGCTTCTGTGGCTTAATTTTTGTCTTTTATATTTAGGTCAAATGAACACGATTGTGGAGAGTTTCAACAAGTACATGGCGAAAGCAGAAAACATTGCAGGAAATATTTGGAGCCACAGTAAGTTAATTCGGTCCTATCTTCACAATTCTTGTGGACTGCATAAGTGACCGTATTCTTGAGTATCATATTGGTTAGGATGTGAGTTGGTTCCTCGAAGTATGTGGAATGCCCATAACGCATTGTCTTTACCGAGAGTGCAATCACTTAGCAGATGTGAGTGAACTGCAGTGAAGACGGGTCCATCAGTCACAGATGCAGCCCGAGGAAGGATGAGTCAAGGAATCAAGCTGATACAAGAAGGCGGTTTCGAAGGAGTCTATAAATCCACTTTTGGAATGGACGTAGGAGAGCAGCTTCGCAAGACTTACGCCTGTTATTTATCCACCTCTACGGGTCCTGTGGCTGGCACTCTTTACATCTCCAATTTGAAGTTCTCATTCTGTAGTGATAGACCCCTAGCCTATGCTCCTGCTACTGGTCAGCAAGCTTGGAGTTACTACAAGGTTAGTAATGTTTCACGGGTTGATTTTCTTCTTATGTCAGTTCGTTCTTTGGTTAGATCTGATCATTATCACCTTCACACGAAAATTGAATTTTCATTCCTTTTTCCACTCTTCCTCTCTTTTATCTGCATCGTTGATTGTTTGTTAGTTACTAAAATCTACTTTTCTATGTGCAGCTGGTTGTCCCATTAGACAAAGTGAAGGAGGTTATTCCATCATTTAACGAGAACAGACCTCAGGAGAGATATATTCAGGTTACGACGCAGGACGATCACGACTTCTGGTTTATGGGATTTGTGAATTACGACAAAGCTGTCATGAACATGCAACTGGCGCCCAGACACATCGGAGAGATTGATCCTAATGGCGGACTGAAGGCGCCCTGGGCAGGAATATCGATTCCAGGAATGAAGAAAACGGCTGCTCATTCATCTCCTCCAAGAGGACCTAGCTACAACCCATCCACCGGTGGGACAGCAAACTATTACCCTAATGCACCCAATCCTTACACATCGAATCATTAGGTGTAAGTCAAGGAGGTTATTGTACAAGAGGTCTTAAGGTAGGGTTACTTGTTTATAGAGGTGTTATCCTAATTTTTTTTGATAAGGATGTCTTAGAAATTTAGATGTGAATTCTATTAAATGCCTAATGCGAAACTTCTGCACTGTGCTTTGAGGAAACGTATCTGCTGCTGCAGCATTGCAATGTTCAACTAAGTTTTTTATACCAGAAACTAATTCCCAAGATCTCAAATTCATGCCTTATCTTAAGGCAGGCGTGCCAATTCCAGTGCAGTTGTTTTATATCTTAGGTCAGAATCAGATTGCAGGAAAGGTCTTTGCAGACACCGTTAGTGGTTTTTGGTACATCAAACTGCAAAGTGCGTCAAGCTGAGTTGCGACCTTGCATGAAACGCTGTGTTCGAATATTTGTGTGATAAATATTTTTTTTTAATTCTGTAGCATGTTATAATTTTGTTCTTATCTAAAAAGACAAAGTAGAATGAAATATCAAATATAAATTCATTATCAATGTAATTCTTACATTATTTTAATATAATTTTTTATAAATTTCCAAAGATGTATTTATTAAGGGGAATATTAAATTAATTGATGTGAATATTAAACTGACACAAGGTTCCTCCTGGCCGTTGTGAATAATCCGAGAGGATTGATTTTTTAGATAATGAGATCAGGATCCTTGTTGTGGCACTCGTATTTCATAATTTGTCCATACAAGATAAGCTCTAATTCATATTGGTGTGTGCTGAACCAACAATTAATTCATTGCTTACATTTTGTGATAAGAATGTGCAAAAAATTTCAACTAGTACATCAATATACACATTTGCACAAACAATTAAGAAGACATCATAAAAAAATAAAAATAAAAATAGGAATAATAACTAAACTAAGATTTTGTTGTTCAAAAACCAATTTACCATTTGTTGTAATTTTTGGATTATTAAATGAGTTCTAAACCACATTGTTACATACATCTATGCATATATCTACGTACAGGAATTGGCACATTTCCTAAAATATGAGATTTCGCATTGTAAAAACCTGATTTTAGATACGTTTCTAAGATTCGTATTCTTCCATAAGATTCAAACTGCGTACATTGCTACACATTGCTGTTCATCTGTAGAATAACTAGTGACGATACATATGTAGGATTCCTATCTGTATGTTTGACGTTATCAGTTCTCTATTCTTTGGTTTACTGGTTAAGATTTAACATTAAAATAGCTATGATTTATGAGTAAAATGGCAGCACTCTATCACAAATAGCAATTATAGCACAAAACCTGCCAAGCCCCATTTCAACAAGTAGGGTTTTGAAATAACAACAGAGAATTAAAATGAAACCCGCTTTTCTAATGGGGAAGTCATGGTCAGATCTCACAATTGAAGTACACAAGGATAATAACGTGTGAAAACTACCTGGATTGATGTTTCAGATTTGGTTGGGTTGGTCCCATACTAGCACCTGCCATGTCTAAGGTGGAGACATGACAGCAGAACTACTCACTATGGATTCGAGGCCAAGACAGAAAATATACCTCATAATGCTTAAATATTTTCTCCAAGAGTCGCAGTGCAGATCAATTCCTCATTGAAAATTGTGAAATCACATCCCAAGTTTGCTGATCCAGAATTTCATCTGCTCGGCGACAGGCTCAGCTCCTGTCGAGCCATAAGACCGAAACTTCGCAATGGAGTTCTCAACACCCAAGAAGGTGTAAACATCTTCCTCAAAAACGGGATTAATTCTTAGGAACTCTTCCAGTGAAAGATCTTTAAGTTCTATTCTCTTGCTAACTGCGATTGCCACAGCCTTGCCCACAATGTCATGCGACGTTCGGAAAGGTATACCCTGCAAAATCACATGACAAAAATATTTTCATGAAAGCCAGAAACGAATGATAAAAACAGAACAAACATGGGAAATTTTCGACATGAGCGACAAATCTAGACGATTTGATTTGAAGCAAAAAAGGACGCACAGAAAAAATGCAGGATTATGCACTACCTTGTATACAAGATAGTCAGCTAAGGTTGTCGCATCTAGATGCCCAGCTGGCAATGACTTCGATATGCGATCCTTATTGAAGACAACATTCTGGGCAAACTCTGCAGTCACGTCCAGCACGGTATTGATGGTTTCGACACTGTCGAACAGGGGCTCCTTATCCTCCTGCAGCATAGCCCAATCGCTCATTACAAGTAGAAATAAAAGCTATTTGAGAAAGATATTGAAAAAGAGTAACAAGAGTCATCAGTGTGCAAAAGAAATCTTGTCTAACCTGAAGATCACGGTTGTAAGCCATGGGGAGCCCCTTGCACAAAACCAAAACTGTTGTAAGGTCTCCAATTACTCGTGCTGACTTCCCTCGAACCAGCTCCATTGGATCAGGATTTTTCTTCTGTGGCATGATGCTGCTCCCGGTCGATACAGCATCGCTGGGCGTTAAGAAACCGAACTCTTCCGAAGCCCACAGTACCCATTCCTCGGCAAGGCGTGAAAGATGGATTGCAATGATGGAATTTGCGCCCAGTAACTCAATCAAGAAGTCGCGGTCTGCTACTGCATCCACACTGTATGCAGAAACAATGTTAACGAATAAAAGTGCAGATAACAACGCTCGGTTATCATTAGCAGAACAGCAAAAAACTAGTTTGCACTATATGGAAAAAATTGAAGATTAGTTTTCAGAAGAGCCGATGGTAATATCCAAACTCTAACCAGTCCTCGCACCTGTTGCGCATAGGCTCGGTGAAACCCAGGGCTTCAGCAGTATTGTGCCGGTCAATGGGGAGACCAGTGCCAGCCAAAGCACACGCACCTAAAGGAGAAAAATTGAGCCGTGCCTGACAATCCAAAAGGCGAGAAGCGTCTCGCTCTAACTGGCATCCATTGCAGAAAGCAACTAGTTAATTCAAACATTCTAAAGAATACTCTGATATAGTGAACAGCTACAACCACACGTGTGCGACTATTGCAAAAAATACTAGTAACGCATTACCATAACACAAGCTCTAATCAAACGAACAATGATTAAGAGAACATATGACATTGTCCAAATACATCAAGGGCAGGTTCGTGATTATACCATTTCCACAAAAGCCAGCAAAAGGTGTTGCAGAAGCAGTGGTTGCGCCCGCTGAAGATGGGTATAGCCGGGCACGACTAAACCCTCGTTTTCTCTAGCAAGCTGGACTAAGGAAACCTGAAATCTCCACCTTTGTGTCACTGAGAGAGTTCGTTTTGGTTAAGCTTTCTGTTCATGCGTTCAAGCAAATATTTGAAAAATACTCAGTGACACGTAGTGCGTAAACCCTTTACCTGCAAATATTTGATTCTCTGCACGATGTCGTTGATAGCATCTCGACACCATAATCGCACATCTGTAACAACCTGAAATGCTTCAATTTTAGCGAACCTGCATACGTTTGTGTACTATGTATATCGGCAAACATCATCTTGAACGATGTGCAGCAACAAACACAAGCTTCAAAACCAAATATAGAGTAATTTGAGCGAGTGAACAGAACACAATATAAATGCGAACACACGCAACACGCACTTGATCGTTCCTACTACGCGCTGTATGTAGCTTCTTAGCCGGTTCGCCAACAAGCTCAATAAGTGCAGCCTCTACATTCATATGAACATCTTCTCTGTCTGCCCTCCAATTGAACTTTCCGTCGTCTATGCGCTTCTCGATCTCGTCAATGCCGTTCAGAATCGCATCTCGATCCTGGACAGTGATAATACCCTACAGAGCGCATCATTCAGCTTCACATGGAACATCTAAAAACCACCACATTCACTCACTAAGTTAATGGTAGTGACTAACATAGAATGTTCATAGTGCCCAATTTCCTGGATATGTTTGATAAATATACCTGCTTCGCAAGCATGGACGCATGTGCACGGCTTCCCATGAGATCATGCTTATATAGCTTCCGGTCGTAGGAAACTGACTGCCCAAACTTCTCCACAGCAGGAGTAACACCTTTCTCAAACCGACCTCCCCATAACTTAGCCTCCTTAGGCTGCTCTTTGCTGTCTGCTTGGATCCCCCCAGTCGCTGTGTTAGAAGCCTGCATCCTGCATTGGCTCGGCACAGCACTCTTCAAGATGGAGTGTTTCTCCGACAGAGACTTCCTAATGCTCAAAGAAGAATTGGAAGATAATTTTTCAGAGGGTTTGATGCACAGGAAATGACCCTCCATCCTACAGCGAACTGTAGGAGCACTTCCGAGAAGATTTAACTGCTGCATTTAATTGCCACTAGCTCCAGATACTCTGTCGCTGACGAGCAGGGTCGAAGGTTTGGCAAGTCTGGGCCTGACCTAAACCTCCTCAAAACCTCAGTTCAAACCTGTTACACAGAATCAAAAAAATTCAACAAGGACACACTTGACAGGGGCTGGCCAATACAGTATCTACACATTCTTTCTAGCGGTTGGAAAGTAGCAAGCTAAAACCCTTCAAGATATCCATGTTACCAGCTGCTAGAATCGGGAAGAAAAATCAATAGCAATGACTAACAATGGCGCAATGTGCGCAGAGACGAAATAAATTGCAACCCTCCAGACAAGAGTTCCTCGCAGACCTTCCATAACGACAGTCGCAACCGCACATGACCTTAACTGTACCTCCAAAACACGAAATGGAAGGGTATTTCACTGAGACGTTAAACCCATCACTAAACGTCTAAACCCCTCAAGAGGGAATCAACCTCCACCGTGGTTAGCCCCTCTACCCTTGTGGCTTAACATACAGAGAATGTGCAGGATAGAAGAACCTCGCTCTACCAGCGCAAATTAAAACTCTGATCAGATGTGTCCAAGTTGTGAAGAGAATCCAAGCGCACACAGACATTAGGTTGGCGAAAGATGAATCTCTCCCTTAATGCTCATCCCTAATCAACGGCATCCTCACCAACGTCAGAGGTGACACGCCTGAAAGATTTTCAAGCAAGCAGGTTACGTACCCACAAATTCCAACCCACCCCACCTTAGTCCAGTGCACTTCGGTTCCTTCACCAAAACTCGGATTCAGTATGGTTCACCTCGTCTGTCGACTCTACTCAATGCGGGTACCCGGAACCGAATCATGCAACCATCTCTGCAGCACAAGCCAGCCGTCACAGGGAGAAGAACCCTAGCATCCGCATCAAGCAGGTCTCAAAGGAGATCCTGAATCCGTGTGGTATTCAGGTAGAAAAAGCGAAGCTCGAACAGACAGAATCATCACATATTTTCTCGAGTTTCCCGTTAATTTTAACATTCAACCTGCTGAAGTAGTTTCCAGATTTCTAAGTGCGTGGTGGGTGGGTAAACATGAAGGGATTTCCAGGAGGCTTCAAATTGAGAATGATATATTCCTTTTAGACATGGTCAGTTTGTTAACTAGCATGAGACGTGTACATTCTACCCGTTTGACTTCATCGTTGTGTTTATGAATTGCTTCATTTAGTTTAACACTTCACATTTTTGAGTTTCTTGTGTTTGGTTGAGATTTCAATGGAACACTGCGTGCATGTATTTTAGCCATATATGTTGAGTGAATGTATGCACACAAGGAAAATAATTTGATGACAGCATTGTGGAAAACAACAAGATATGAAACTGGAAACCCATTACCACGTGAAGAGATACATAGAAAAAACTCAAGAAGGGTGGGGACAGACTACACTTCACACAAAAATTGTATTTTTGGAATGTAGCGTACTACTTTGTTCAGATCATGAGAGTTTCGTTTGAAGTTTACAACTCCCCTCAATTGAATGGGGTATGAAAACGATGGGAAACGTGACTGCAAGATCTTGTTGCGAAGGATGTCAATATTCAATCCAAGGTTTTGTATAATTCGTGTTGTAAAGACAGAGTCGAAATCTGCCGTTGAAGAGTCTGCTGATAAGTCGTTCCCATTCTTTGAAGTCTTTCACTTCTTGTCTCCGACAAGATCAACAAGCCATTCCTTGGTCTGTTGAAAGTCTATTTCACGTGTTGGTATCCTCTTTTTTTTGTCGCATCAGCTTTCACAGTTACACTAACTTTGGGGAGAGTAAAAAGTCTGGCAAGTACCGGTGCATCAAGATACCACAAAAAGGGCAAGCTGGTAACGGGGTTTGTTCGGTGATCGGTGAGAACGCATGCTCTAAGAAAGTTCGGGAAGGAAGATGGAAAAAAGATGCAGGGGCAAGCTTAGAAGCCCATCGTGCACAGCAGTTGCAGTACCATAGGGGGACCCCTGGACACACCTGCAATCAAGGACATAGTAAAGCACTAAATATAATAGCTGCTTCGTAAGCAAAATAAGTGAGGCTTGATTTAATTGCACTTCAAGATTCATAAATTTTGGAACTAAAAGATCTATCAAGTTGCATATAGACTAAACCCCCATGACTAGGACTTAAGGTAAAAATAAAAATAAAAATAAAAATCACGAAAAAACACGAAAAAAAAAGGTGTGCATTAACAGCAGCAAGGAAATACTTGTGCTGAAATGTACGTAAACGAATGCTTAAAAATTCACTAACCTGCAACGAGACTGCGCAGCGTTGAAGCTTGTGCTTGGAAAATCCCTTCTCTGACTGAATGCCACAGCAATAGGCTACCTCCGGAGACTCTAGATGCACGTCAGCATCACAGAAAGTGCAATGCTCTGATAAAGCTTCTTTCCTAAATAGTGACGACCTGCTCACAAAAAGAACACACCTACTGAGATTAAATCCTTAACCTGTACGAAAATGCATTCACCCGTAGAGGATGTTAGAATTCCATAGTTAACTGGCAAGGTTAAAGCCAGATACAAAGTATTTCAAACTGTTTCGCCTTCGCACTACTATATTTCGGCGTGATATGGGCGAATTTGAAAGCGTCACTCACATATCATTTGAAGATGAGGATATGTCATCAGCCAATTGGACCAAGCGAGGAAAGCATTCTGATTTATTGGCAGTGACCCAATTCACCACCAGAGGCAATATCACCTCCATGTCTCCCAGTCTGTTTTTCAACTGCTCTGCAGTCTCCAAGCAACTTGCTAAAGAAAGAGTTCCCATATATAACCTTTGTCTTAGCTCATACTCAACAATCCGCAAGTGCTGCTTTAACTGTTCCTCTTGTTCAGCAGAGTGGAGGAAACGGCCTGAAATTTTTCCCCAGGACGGTATCCTCTCCCCAGATGGTTCCAGTTGCTCTTGAGAAGTTCGTCCGCTGAGTACTTCAGCCGTGCAATGAGCCAATAATAACTGCCTATAGAGCACACACAGTATTTGTAGTTGCCGACAAGAAGCAGATGCAAGATTGGCAAGTAAACTATCCAGATATGTATATAGAGTACCAGTGTCCCTAAGATTCAAGCCTTGACACCAAGAAGAGATCCAGTGAAGGATAATTGATATGACAAATTCTGCTGAAGTTACAGGTTTAAGGTTGGTAAGAGCGGCTATTGTGTCCCACAAAACCAACGGTAATGTAGGGTCTTCCATTCGATGAAGAGCGAAAAGAATTTTTGTTTTCCAATTCTCGAAGTCATTTGTTTGAATGCTTTTGTGGAACGGCATTCCAAAACTAGTATCAAGGACATCGTCCAACGAGGGTTTGGACTTCTGACAACCCATCCAAAATAAGTGCACCACGCCTTTCTGTGCCCTGCGACCAAAGTATTGAAAGTTTTAAATGAATGCAAATAGAGAGGAACAGGACATAAATTAGTTAATACAGTGTTTGACCACACTCCGCAACGGATAGTACTTCCTTAGACCAACACGTATCTGCTCATAAGGACACTTCAGGCAGTGGATTCTTAATGACAAGGTATACCAGTGCACCCTCCTGAAGAAAGGAAGCAGAATACGGTACACTCATATGCAGATGCGAAATCAAACGAACATAGTTTGTGATGTTTCCGCGACTTACCTGGCTTGGTACATCTGGTCTACCATATCAGCTGTTACACCACGCACCTAATACTCATATCATAGACCGCATCAGTATTACAACCACGGCATTATCAGAGTTGCAGCGTTGTTGAATAAACAATGACGGAATGAAGGTCGTTGGCTATCTAGAGTAGATACACGATCCTCATAACAGAAAAACATGCACCTCATAATTCATACGGCATGTATATTCGTAAAAATAACACACAGCACTATGCCCAATGGTAAACTTAAAGCAACGGATGAAAAGTGTCATACCACAGCCATACTGAGCATTCCTGGAGAAAATGCTATCCCATAATAAAGGTCCAGGACAGAGGCAGGTAGCTGCGAGAAGTAGACAGCGAGTATAAATATCTAAGCAGATAAATCAATACATGTGAACATGCTCCGTGAGCTCATTAGTAACTTGTAATTGAAAATAATAAAAGAAAACTATGTTCTGCAGACGAGGAGAAAAAAACGTACATCCAGCGCGATTTGAGGAGTCTCCGTTTTAAGCAGCGATGAGCAATCTGTGATAGGAAGACTGCAAAGACCATCTCCTGAAAACTCCCAGGCGTGCAGCACGTTGTCCTGGCCAAAAATCAATTAAGCCACCAATTGTAAAAACTACTGTCCAAAAGATGCATTCCACACATTTGTTTCGCTATTGAAGCAGAAAAAAGATCATGACATGTAATTGGAACGTACAAATGGTGTCAGTGAAGACCCGTATAACATGATTGGTTTTAACCCCCCAACGTTAGCACTTCTGAGTAAATCGGAAAGCGCGAGCTGAAAAAGATTGAGAACATGATACCTGACTACAGCTATACAAAAATCGCCCATCTACAGTCCAGATTAATCCAGTTACCTGCGACCACGTTGTAATTAAGACAAGCTTAAAAGATTAGTGATTACCAAAAAATTTCATAGTCAATCATGAGAAGTCCTGCGCTTTCAACTGACATTTACACATACTCAAACATTGAATAGGTACTCACAACTTGATCATGCGCCATGATTTGGTTAACCCTATGAGTGCAGACCCATGAGGAATCGAATTCACACACAGAGACTTGGCCAGATCCTTTCCCAAGAGCCAGAAGTGGCTTTGAAGAGTGTCCATTTGCTACGACCAGCGCTAGTGAACTCACGATCACAGTGTCTGGAGGTATGACCTGGCCAGCACAAAGAAGTAAGATGAGTCTTCTAGAAGCGAAAGGAATTTGATGATAATACACATTCAACAGGAAAAGTTACATTGTTTGCAGCAGTGTAAAACTTCAGCTCAAGAATAATGACATGAGGATATATTGAATCCAAATTAGTAGTAATATACTGATATAAAGAACATATCAATTTACCTTTGACATATATCAGCAAGAAAAACACCGAGAATACTAAACCTCTCTTTACCAGAACGAAGCAGAAAGGAATCAAGCAATTCATCCACAAGAGACAATACAACATGTAGATATAACTCTAATTAAAACATAAGCAGGAACTTAGCGTATGTTCTAAGTGTTCTAAGTGTTCCTGCTTATGTTCTAAGTGTTTCACTTCTTAAAATAGACCGGATTAGAAAAAATCGATGTCGTTCAAGGATCACACATTACCTCTGTGAGCAGTGTCAATGGAAATGTCCTACTTCCAGACGGCATAGTCGCCAGATCATGCAGATTTCCAGACCACAGCTTAACACTGCCAAAAATGGGTGACATGAAATTGAATCTCAAGGTGGATCTCAATCAAACTTGATATTTTCAGTTTGATAAAATTAAAAAATTAAAAATTAAAAAGAAGATAAAAGAAGAAACAAGAGAAGCAGGAGAAGCAGGAGAAGCAGGGAATTCAACGAAGAGGAAAAATATGTATTAATGATTTTGATGGTTATAATACTGAATAATAAATGATGCGCATACCTTCCGTCAGAACTCCCAGTTGCTAACACCACAGTATCTTCGGTTGTGTCCTTTATACAAGAGCGAGTTCCCCAACTGAATGTAGTTAGCCAGGATTTGTGAGCAAAGATTTCTCCAAGTAGAGACATTTTTGGAGGTACAGATTTTTCAACTGAGTAATATTCTGGAAGTGCGACTCGCAAGAGCCAAACACTGCCTGCCTTGGTTCCCACAGCACATAAAACCAACCCTCGATCGTTTACATAACACGTCGGAGACCAGGCAATCACTAGTGGAGACAAAGAGTAATCCCTCTCTGTATATTCTTTGGGTGTTATGAAACTTGAACGACGACTTGAACCAGAGTGCTGCCCACTTGGCGAAACTGCATCATCAGAAGGAAGTGAATTATAACTATTTGTCCTTCGACAAAGTAACCGAATCTCAAGGTTTCTACCTCTATTAGACTGTAAAACTTCATGTGCATCTAAACAAACTGAGCCTTTTTCAGTCCTCATCCAATTTCAGAGACAAAGGAATTGATCTCCACCATGCAACATTTCTCCATAAAATCAAAGAATTGGCTTGCGTATCAAAATACATAAACGACGACCTTCGAGAGAGAAAACCGTAGACAAGAACGGAATTATTTCTCAAACCAAAAAAATCAAGGTGAGCTACCTGGTGTTCGACTCTCTTGAACGGTGTTATCCTCCGCCTTCAACACGAAACTGATATGTTAACAACCTTGGCTACATCCCAAATCATTCAGAGATACACTCACCTACTGAAGTGTCCAAACAATCTTATTTCTTTACTTGAGTAATCTAATCACTTCAACAGTGACCTTGAGCAAGAGTATTATTTTGCTAGTTTTGCACGGAAATTTCATACATGAAAATAAGTGAGAGCTCCCTTGAGTAGTAGCCAATAAAAATCCAGGATAAACTTGAAGCATAAGCTGTCTTCACATGTTGTAATAAATCTCAACCCTTATTAAGCACAAAGATAGGTGAGGAGATTACAAATTACCCTGGTGAACACATTCTTGGAGCTCGGCGGAGTTGTCAAGAGATTCTTTTTCGCTCTCTTTTTAGCTTGAATCAGTGTTAGACAGTCATCATCATCGTCAATATTATATCTATTCTCTGATGTGTTTTGAGTACTGCAAACAGCAATACATATCTTATGAGAAAGTCTATTCTCAAAATAACATAAATCAGCTAATTTGAACCCACTACTGTTAAATCACGGAGCAAGATAAATCAGTGATAACTGATTCAAATGCACAAACTTAACGTGTTGTGAGTCGACAAACAAAAGAGTATACAAAACCAAAAACTTCTCAAGAAAGAGCTACTTACAAACTTGCTCACATTTTCTCTTTCCTTTGCACTTTTCTATGTAGAGATTCTTGAGATTGAGCTTGCAGTTTCTTTGCTTTAACGGGCAAGTTGTTTTCATCAATCCTATCATCCTAAGATCATGCAAACCTTGAAGCAGTTAGGCTAAACAACTTCAAGACTAAAAAAAAAATCACAAGCAGATGCACAAATTCCTTGAAAACGTTCCAGAGAGAATCTTAGAGTGGCACTAAACAAAAACCATAAATAAGTTAAGTAAATGAATAAAGTACATAAGGGTAGTGTGGGTGAATGAGGCGACACCTAAAAGCAAGCCTGCATCAATTAAATGTAGAGCACAAATTGACTGAGACCTAATTACTGCAATCAATAAACGACAAGAACTATTACTGCCAGGAGATACCTTGGTAACCACATCATAAGCTGCATTTGCTCCTTGAAACTTATCATCAACACAACAAGAATGCATGAGTTTCGTTACATCCCCAACCTGCAGATTGTCGAGATACTATTGTTAATGAACACATAAGTGCTGGAAAAAAAAAAAAAAAAAAAAAAAAAAAAAAAAAAAAAGAAGAAGTGCGCAGATAGATTTCTGTGTCTCCTTTATAATGCAAAGATTTTCGAAAATGATTGCAATACGACTGTATAAATATGAAGATGTATAAAAACTAACCTCCACCCATTCAGGGGTGTAGTCGCAAAATGGTTCACGATATAGCTTTACTCTCGAGTCTGTCGTGCAGACAGCCAATAAACAGCTGCAAGATGCAGAAGACAAAGAAATACCGGCTTCAATATTTTTCAAAAATAAGAAGAAAAAAAAGAATGAAGAAGTGAGAAAATGGATTCAGCGTGTAATTCCAGAGATAGAAATATTGGGTCCAGGGGTGAAGTACAGGGATTGCAATCTGGCAGCAACAAGAAAGCCCAAACCTACCCTCCATGAGATGCTACACCCTGTGGAGACCAATCTATTGATCGCACCCCTATTCGCCCTTCTCTAGCCAATCGAAATTGCATAAGCTCTGGGTCATGAAAGTCTGCAAAAATAATCAACAGACAGCAGCATTGAGGCGTTTCTAATTTACTGCTTCGTTACATTCAAAGTTAGCTTGTCACTCGCATTAAAAGCCGAATCTTAGGAACAACCAAATCACTGCAATCATGAACTGAGGGAGATCAATATTGGATCATCTTCGTGAATGGTTTCATGAGGAAAACCCGAACTTTCTAACAATATGACCATGTGAACTGGCATAACTAATTGAGTAGCAGATAAACCTGTAATGGCACACACACTGGAATCTAAGGTGATCACCGACCTGTAATGATTCTAAGCGATTATAACAGAAGTGCATCGTTACAAACCTGCAGGTTGCACTTTTCCAATATCAAAAACTGGGCTTTGTGTCACTGGAACAAAACCTTTTGGACCTGTCAGCTCCGCTGGATTCTGCAAAAAATGACAAAGACTGACCGTTACACAATGATGATCTTTTGAGTTCAAGAGTGGATGGTCCACTTGTAAATCCTACATTAACCATGCTCTTTATGTCAAAAGCATTCATGCCCAGAGTACTCAAAAGTCTAACAAAAACCTATCTGGTATTACCCATAACTAAAAGTATCTCTGATAGAGACATATTAGTATGTGACAACCAGCTATTAAGTCCCGTCTATAATCATATAAATATCCAGTAAGGATCAACTGCCTCCAAATACGAATCAACCCAGGACATATAAAACAAACCCAGGAGAGAAAGGTCACAATAACCAAAATACACAAGAGCTCAAACAAAGTGACGTTAAAAAAGCATCAGCCAGCCCATTTCACTGCACCACCACTCTGCAATAAAACCAGAACACCACAAACTGAAGCGACGAACACATACCCAAGTAAAAATTAAGATTAAAACTAAAAAAAATAACACAGATAATGCTTAGATGAGTGGAAATTAAAAGCGAACCAGGATGGTGACCAGGTGGCCAGACGCAACGGCGAGAAGGTTATCCTGAGACCACTTGATAGAGTTGGGGAAAACTGGAGAGCCCACAACTGCAACGGCCTGGAAGGGAATACCTAGGCCGCCAAAGCTAGCCTGAGGTTGTTGGAGCTCTTCAAGGTCTCCCATCGCCGAAGACATGGGATTTCAAAAAGATCCTCTGTTGTGTCACTGCTTCACATTGGCCTACGAGCCTGGCAGATACAGCATTTTCAAGGCAAGTACTTTACAAGAACCTAAAACACAAACCATACCATCAGTGTGTCAGACACCTGACCAAGAGGATAGATTCGGACATCTCAAACTGAAGCATTGATATAAATCCTGCCTCAATCAACATGAGAACAAAATCAAACACAATTGAGACGTGATCAAGATGCAGAGGATAGACACTAAGTATCAAGCCACACCTGTCAACCGTTGTCCGAAGCTCGAATACAAAACCTTCGGAACCTCAGGTATCTCAGAAGCTGGAAAATACAATGCAACACGCTTTAAACCTTCACGAACATCGACAATCAGAGGGGAAAAGAAAAATGTCTTCGGATTAAATGCCATCCTTTCATGCAAATCAACATCTTGGTCGTGTGGTGTGTACTATTAAACTCTGCTTGAGTACGACTTCAATGCTGTAGCGAGTGAGCATCCTTCAGATTTAACAATTCAAGGTCAAATGTGTAAGGAAAGTACAGGCTAGATGAATTTGATCCCTTCCGAAGCTAAATTATCAATGCTCGAAGGACCGCATATTCTCACCAAATTACCCAATCCTAACACAAACTGGGAGAATCAATTCCATCTCCTCAAATCCTTAAATCCCTTTCCACCACTTGATACTCATCACGCAATGCAAATTCCATTACCAATTTTCGAGAAGACAATACACGGTGTCTCATCTCTTTGCAGCAAAAGCATGTTTCTCAGTAGCTCAACGCTGCTGCGGGTGTTTTCTCTCATCTCTTGTTGCATCAAATAAGAAGTCAAGTCACCAATTTCAAGTAACCTAGAACAAAAAAAAAAAAAAAAAAAAAAAAAACGTGCAAACTCAACGCGATTGTCACCCTCATATATAGGCAGCTCGACCAGCGAGAGCCTGCGAACCCTAATTTCTGCAGAAATCAATCAAATAAAAAGAAACGGAAACCACATTTGAGTCAGACCCAGAGTCTCCAAAACTCGCCGTAGACACCAAATGAACACTCACGCTAGATAGACTCGACCTGAAACACCGAAGCGACCTAGGGGTCGAAACCCTACCCTCGCACTCCCCACCAGTCCAGTCAAGTCCAGCCTTCTTGCAGCGGTGCAGTCCCATTGCAAGCGGGCACTGCGTTGGCTGGTGCAACCCGTCCTTCCTGGCTAATGATACCCTCCTCCCATACTGCATAATTTGATTGTTTTTTTTTAGAAATCCGTTGAGTGGGATTCGGTTGGAAATTAGAAGATGCTCTGCGTCACAACCTCTGTGATCCGTTTGGGGCATCTCTCAAGAATATGGGCCCCAGATATACATAGGGATTTGTTAAATTGACCCACCCGTTATCATTTGTTGAGAATTCAACCATTTTTTCATTGGATTTTGACCCATGCGGATCCAGAATCTAGCAGTAGAGAATTTTTTGATGATGGTTAGAATTTTGTAAATACTTGGGTCAATTTAACAATTCCCTGTATTTACAGATACATGTATGGATAATACTGATAGTGAATTGTGTATCATACCACAGGGTTTGTTGGAATGTATACAAATGTTTGGATTGTTTTGTTTATTTTGGAATGTTCATGTTCTTTTGGTGACTGGTCTAGTTGCTTATTGTCGCTTGGTTTTTAGAAAAAATGTGGTGGGGAAATAGACATAGTAGCTAGAGTCAAATCTTGTATTGGACTTAAAGTGCAAATATATATATATATATATATATATATATATAAAGAATCTACATTGTGTGTCTTGGTATGTGATTAGAAATTTGTTTTTTAAATATAATCTCATAATAATACAATGTGGTGTAAACTTTGATGATGTATAAAACTAAAAACTTTAAAATATATATATATATATATATATATATATATATAATCTAAATTAATTTATTTGTAGTACAAACAATGAACTATTGCTACATTTAATTCCAATAATTTTGTTGCACAAATTTTAAATGAATTTCTAAAATTCCAAAGTTCCAAAATATAATGAAAAAATAAATTTATGCTATACACCCATTATATTGACATTACTAGCAGTGTGTGTAGTTATGGTCAAAATTGGTAATATTAATCTAAGCAGAAATGCAACATGAATTCATATATATATATATATATATATATATATACATGCATGAAGAAGTGTAAACTTTTTTATATGTATAATGTATTTTTAAAAAAAATTATGCATAATCATACATATTCTGATAAATTATATATAATACAATTTTTTATTTACTTATTTATTTATTTAAACAGCATTATTAGAATTTAATAAACTATATATATATATATATATATATCTATTAGTTGAAATATTCTTGAAATAATGTCTTCATTTACTTATAGTATGATACTTAAAAGATTATAAAATAAGCAAAGTTGATATAAAGTATAATATCAAAATAATGTATATCCATAATCATTGAAATAATCAGGAATCTATTAGTGAAAATTTGATAGCAGAGATATTTATAATTAACTTAACTAAAATGATTTGACATTTTTGTAATTTATTTGTAGAAGATATTATAGTGTCAAGTACATTTTTGAAAGATAATTGGATTCTATTGCACAAACTAAAGGTAGTGTAGAAAGATATTCTAAAAACAATAGTTGTGATATAAAATTTGCTTGAAAATATTATTTGTTCTTTTACTTGAGCAATGTTATAAAAGACACATGATTCTTAATTATTGATAAGAATTGACTAAGATATGAACCTATTGTCAGCAATATGAAAGCATTAAAAAATAGGCAAAAATATTTATAAATTCAAACATAACAATAGTTTTTAAATTAATATTCATGTAGTATTTCTAAACACACATTATTTCATAAACTAATATTTTATTTAAAATAACTAAATAATAAATATAATTTTATTATAAAATAGTATAAACTTTAAAAAAATGGTTTAATCTAGTTTATAGATTTACATTAAAATATTATATACATATTTATATACGTTACAAGTTTTTAAATTTAAAAATATTCTACTTAATAAAAGCAACAAAACAATACTTTATATGTTATATCTAGATTGTTAAAGAAACCAAAAAATTTGATTTTTTTTTTGAGATTATTTTACAAAAGAGTACAACTACATATTTAGACAAAAAATAAATAAATAAAATATTTTTTATTTTTTTGTAAAAATGATAGTATCTTAAATAAGTTATTCTAGAAATAAATTTGTTTAAAACAAGTCTAGATATAAAATACCTAATCTTGAAGAATACACTTTGAGTAGAACACTTTAAAATTTTACTTGTATACTTAAAGCATTTATTGCTATTACATATAGATTCGTGTTTTGGTAAGGTAAATTTTTCACTTGAATATATGGACTTTAAAGAGGAAAAAAAGAAAAAACAATTATTAATCTTTTTTTACTCATGGTCTTTTTCCAAAATTATTTTGTTAAAAAAAACCCTCATTCTAGAATTCACTGATATTATTCACAGTAAAAACACAATTTTTTTTAAATAATAATACTAAAATTATTTGATATTTATGAATATATATATATAGAGAGAGCTTAAAATTTTAGATTTACTTATTTTCGTATAATTACTGTGAAAACATTTATTGGAATTACTTATAAATTTTTTGTTAAATAGAAAACCAAACCAAATTACAATTACACAAATTTATTTTTAAATAATAAATCTTTTATATTAAAATATTATAAAATAATTTGAATAAAAAAAAATTAGTAAGTTATAAATCAAGAATATGAACAAATTTTGCATATGACCATAGAATTATGTTTAAATTGTTTGAATGTTTTTAGAGTATATTTAGAATTTTTTTCTTCATAAGTATGTATTATTTATATGAAGATATAATTAAGTAAAATATTAAAAAAATCATATTTTTATGTATTTAGAGTTTTGTGTCTATATATATATTAAATTTAGATAATTTTAAATTCTGTTTTTCTCAAATTACATTCAAATTGCAACTTGCTACTTTTTTTAACTTACTTCTTTTCAACATTTGGACTTGGATGGAAAGTGATGAAGCTTCTACAACGTCAATTTTAAACTTCTTTGTCATCAATTATTTATACGTAATATATCTTTCTAATTTCTAAAATAATTTTATTTTACTCACTATTAATTCGTTATGCTTACTTTTTTGTGTTGCATTACGCCAAATAATTATTTATATTATAATATCACTTTTATACTTAATTATCTAAATATTGTATACAATGCCATAATTTGAATTAGGAAGTGTATTGCAAAAAAATGCATATTTAGTCAACCATAATTTTTTAGATTTAGTTTGTTTTTGCTAGTAAAAACAGATATTTGTGGTATACTTGTTAGTAAAGGAAGAAATTCAAACATAAAAGAAACCTACTTTATTTAATGACTATACATGTAGAATATCAAGTATTCAGATGTCTAAACACAACAAAGATAGAACCTATTATTCTTCTGGGTTAATATTGAATTTGTCTAAAGATGTTTTGCAAATCTTTTATTGTTCATGTTTAGGCACTGCAATTATTTTCCAAAAAAATTGGTTTATGTAAGCTAATGTATTTGTCTTACTTCTTAAAGTCTTTTCAATGAATATTAAACATCCAAGAAAATATTTAAAAATAATTTCTACTAAACACTAATTATTTTACCAAAACCACCATCTTAAAGAGAGTCAATTCTTTACAAAGTACATCTAATTTAATCTAAATATAGGATTTTAAAATCTAATAATTACATTGTTCTTTCTTTCACCTAAATTGGTCTTAAAATGCAATTTTTTTGTATTTATTAATCTTCATAACATTCTTTTGTGCAATAAATAATATTTTCTCAAAATATTGAAAAAAATTACAAAAATTATAATCCATATAAAAAAAATCATCACATAATATGTAATATTTTTTTGAAATTTATTTTATGATTTTATTTCTTTTATGTAGTTCTACACCAAAAAAATTAAAAATTTTAATCTAGAATATTTTTTAATCTTAAATTTTTTTTGGTATGTACTTCATATTTTTCAGAATAATTTTTTATTTTTATTTTTTTGAAAAATAATATATGTAATTTTTATTGTCTTCATTAATTAGTTAATTACTATAAAAAATATACTTTCTTTTTTTATTAATAGTTATTATAATGTAGTTGCTGTTTACTATAATATATCCAACTAAGTTTTTGATAAATATGTAAAACATCTCCCATGTTCATTCATTCATTCATTCATGCATGCATACTTTCATTCATATATACATACACAGATATATATATATATATATATATAGGCACATTTATGTATAATCAAGACTGATTGATGCATAGCAAGTCCACAGGTTAAGTCTAAATTGAACATATCAGCGGGGATCATAACAAGCGTAAGAGAAAGATGGGGCTTTGGGAGACACATAAATAAATAAATAAATAAATAAATACAAGAGGAGGGGGGGGGGGAGGTGTGTGTGTGTGCAGGCAGGGTTGAATAGCAATTCTAGTGAACACAGAGTGGAGTCTGGCCTTGTCAATCAGCCACATCACATCCCAACACATCACCCTCACAACCTCTCTGTTATTTATTTGTTTATTTATTAAATTATTTCCGGGAGTGTGAATAATGAAAAGCAAGCATTGAACATACTCCTGCTGCTGTTTCCCACGACTTTGAGACCCCCCCCTTCACATGAGTCCCAACAATCAGTCAGTCAGTCCCCTACAAAGGGTATCACACTCTCAACTGCCTCAAGCCAATCATGCACTCCCTAAGACATGAGTGAATGCCGTTTCTACCCAACAAACTCTGCTGCACAATTGCATAATCTCTACAGAACAAAACAAAAAAAACAAATGCATAAGGTCTTGTCATTCATGGAGCAGGTCTCACAGCTTTCCTGTTTTCTGAGCACCGGACTTCTTTGTTGCATCCTCTGATTGTTAGTTCCTCACTTTGTAGAATTTGGCGCCTGGGTAGACCTAGATCCAGAGCTCATAGGTACGCAGATCATACCCATATATCAACTCGAAATACTTGCATGTGAGCGCTTGTGAGTGGGGACGGGGGGGCATTAGTTAGGCCCAATCAACGGAAGATTCATGTGCTACTCTGTGTGTGAGTGAGCTGCAGTAAATGGACCGTTAGAATGGTGAGCCGGATGGGAATACGACCTGATGTAAATTAAGAGAGAGTGATTATTACAAAGAGGGGAAGGACAAGGCAAAGGACTGAGGCCATACTTTTTCTGGCATGTTAGAGCGTCAGTCGATGCAAACAGGCTCCTGCTGCAGAGTGATTCGCTATTGGGGGGATTTATTCTCACCATGTCAGATGTCATCACTGAGCTGCACTTTTCTGGTACAATGCACGTCCACTCCGAGGCAGATCAGTGGCTTGCACTCGGCATCACGAGGCCTATTAATGAGGGCTTTGGTTGTGCATGATAGAGAATAAAAAAGGTGGAGAGATGGGTAGTCAGTCTCTGATCTAGCTAGCCCAGGTCCAAAGGTTAACCTGTTGTGCAGACGCAGTGAGGGTGAATGACTTCAGTAGAATACTAGTCAGTGTAGACAGGTAAGCTTGCATGATCAAGCCTGCTCAACGTCTGAAAGTTGTTTTTTCGTATCTTGTGGCGTAGGAAGGGGAGTTTGGGGCATGATTTGAAGGGCCGAGCAAACCCACAAGTGATGCTCATCAGTCTATCTGCGAGAATTCGTTTCACTTGGTTTGTGTGGAACGGGACCCTGCATTCACAATGCCTCCTTCAAATGGACTAATGCAGGTTTTTCTGAATTATTATTGCAGACGCTTGGGAGAATTACGAACAATTCGACGCTGATGACCGCGAGCAGATCATAGGTTGTAGCAAGTTCCCTCAAATTGCAATATGAGAAATCCTGTGACTCCTCCCAGTCGCGATCAGCTTTTATATCTGCATCTCCAATGGATTCCCAGTGTTAGTACTTTCACAGGTGAACAGGGATTGCATTGTTTGTATGAGCGTTTGATCGGTGGTCGCCATCCCGAGGTTCTTTTAGTGTGTTTTTTTTTCAGTAATGGACCCACTGACCTGCGACGTCTGCTCCATAGTTGCTATCGAAACTAGTGTTCAGTTCTCTTGTTTGCATAACATGTCGTGGTTTTCTTTTAATGATTTTTTATTTTATTTTATTTTATTTTATTGTTTATATTACAGGGCACATGATCCAGCCCGGTTTCAAGATCTTTGGCTTGTTCTTACGTGCTTGACAACCATGGCGCGTCCCTGGAATAGCAAATTCTTGCTACTGTTGAGACTATTACTCTTTTTCCAGAAGCTTTGCAATACTCAGGGGCGATCTTACGGATGGGAATCTGCATACGCAAGAACCCAACCCGTAAGGTTCGAACCTCTCGAGGATGCAGAGGAAGGCGCATCCGGGAGCCGGTTCTGGGCCAATCCTGACCATGGCCACCATCACAAATACGGCCACCCCACTCATTTTAAGCGTACCAGGGCTCTACCTAGCAACACCAATTATATATCCGTGGGGAAGCAAGGAAACGTAGATTTCAACACAGTTCAGGAGGCAATAGATGCAATTCCGGAGAACAATGCTGTCTGGGTCGAAATATCCATACGAGCTGGAGTCTACCGGTGTGCATTTTACTTGAACTTCTGAAACCTAGACCATAGATATCAGAATGTTTCCATCCTGAAATCGGAGCTTGTTGCATGTTCTTGCAGAGAAAAGGTTTTCATTCCATCCAACAAGCCTTTCGTGATCCTTCAGGGGGAAGGGCGATCCACAACAACAATCGCGCACCGCCAATCTGCTAGCCAGAGCGGTACTGCCAACAGTGCCACGGTGACGGTTTACTCATCGAACTTCATCGCCAGGGGCATCGGTTTTCAGGTATTCAGTTACAGCTTTACACATGTCTAACAATTCTCAAAACTCGCGATGAAGTTGCATCTCGGGGTGAACTGAACTTGGAACTTCGTGGATACGATCAAACGAAGAGAGATTGTTGCAGTATAACTTTCAGTAAACATAAAAGGTCCCCCAGAACAGTTTGTGGTGCACAATCTTGAGTACTGAGATGCCCTTGTGGACTATGCAGAACGACGCTCCACTGGCTGAACCAGGTCAAGTTGATGGCCAAGCAGTGGCAGTCTTGCTAGTCACAGACAAAGCAGCTTTCTATTCATGTGGGTTCTATGGAGGCCAAGACACCCTCTTCGACTTCTCTGGTCGCCATTACTTCAAGGAATGCTACTTTGAGGGCAACATTGACATCATCTCCGGAAATGGTCAATCAGTCTTCAAGGTAAGTCGTTACATCCTTTCTCTATAGATTCCTCGATTCCACTGTTTCAGGTTCTCAACATCTGAGAACAAGCATGAATGGATAACTTTTCATGCTGCCACTAAGTTGCCCAAGCATTCATGTTTCCATTCCAGATTCCTTGCGTTCTGGAAGGTTGTGTGACTTGTTCCGATGTTCTGATCTTGGGGAACAATTGGCACAGAACTGTGAGATACATGAGATCGCCACACAGGCATACATATCAGGGTCGCTGACAGCCCAAAAGAGGTCGAGTCCAGACGAAAACACGGGATTCGTCTTCATTAATTGCTTGATCACTGGAATAGGAACTGGGCAAGTGTTTTTAGGACGAGCATGGGGACCGTATTCACGAGTCGTGTACATTTACACTTACATGGACGATGTCATCTTGCCTGAAGGCTGGCAGGATTGGTCTAATCCTTCCAGAGAACGGTTGGTCTCTTTTCACTTCCTCTTGCAATAAAACTGTCAAAATTACGTAATTAAGTGTTACTTTTTATTACAGTGGCATTGCCTTAGATTCATTAATTACTTTTGAATTGCAGGACTGTGTACTACGGGCAATATCAATGCTCAGGACCGGGCTCGGATGCCTCACAACGAGTTAAATGGTCACATGAACTGAGTGACGGCGAAGCACAGAACTTCCTGCAGCTCAGCTGGATAGACGGCCAAGCTTGGCTTCAAGAGGTTTAGTGGTCCTGCTCTCCTGAAGAGTAATATTTCCTGAAGCATGTCATGCAAGGTTCCGGCATTGCACCCTGAACCTTTGCACATAAAGTAGATGGTTCATAACGCTAGTCACCTTTGTTAATGGGTCTTCACGAAATATTGCAATATTGCAATATATGCAACTTTCCTCTGATTGCCCTAAATTAGATTTTATTAGCTTAAAAACTTGTGGAAGTTTCCTGCTGAGAGATTGACATGAGCCTATTCATCCATTCCAGCACATTATCACACTGGGTCAATTCTGCAAATTGCTTGCGTGACTCATGAAAATCCAGCTTAACGAAATGACTAACAAACAATGTCGTGATTGTTCAATTTGTAGAGTATTCACAGAGGTTGTCAGCATCTTGAGTTGCAACCGCAAGGTTCACTGGTGGATGTCCCATCACAAAGTCCAGGATAACTACGTTGATGCAAATGTACATAACTCTTGAAGTAAACTTCATTTGACGCAGGTTGCATGCACAAGAAGAGGTCCTTGCCACGTTTTAATTAAACTCAACTTGAGTGGGCTTGTGTCAACGTCCATCTCACATAAAATAAAACTATTTGATTAAAGAGAGAATGAATAATTAGAAGTGTACACAAATTGCAACATAAGTATGCAACATATGACATTCTCTGTATCGTGAAAGCCAGTGGCACCCTTCACCTTTCCAAACTTAGCATGTCAAGCTCAAAAGTCTATTTGTGTGTATATCCTTTGATCCCTGGATACAAAATACCAAAAGAAGCTTAGTTCCAGAGGTTCAGAGAAGCACCCCCGTTCATAGATGGATTTTATCTCACACAGGATTAATAACATTTGAACAGTATTGCCACAGTAAGTTGATTGAAGCGAGTGGAGTTGAGTTTTTTCCATACAAATCAGCGTCAGTGGCTCTAGACGTGCCAAGGCTATAATAATGCAAGAGGAGTCGGCAACAGTTTGTGGAAATGCTTACCTGGGAAGAAGAATCTCCAAATTGAGTTGGATCTGCTGCCGCATCAAATCAGGACTTATCTCAGCTCTTCGATGAGGTTTGGTGATCAGAACCATGAAGATGTTAGATCCCGAGATAACGATCCTGATGGGTAAAGAGCCTTACCAGACAATGAATAGTTTTCGTGTAAGTGGTTCCTACACATTGTATATTGGTTTGATGATGTATGTATATGGTTGCATTGATGGAGAAGGTCTTTGGTTTAAATTATCATGTTTTATATTATAATCACATATATTCTTTTGTCAACACTTTTTTTATTGAATAATTATACATCAATTTAATCATACTTATAATATTACAAAAAATATTATTTTTATTACTTTAGTAAATTAAATTAAATTATTTATTTTGTAATGAAACTATATTAAATCATCTTGTGTAAATGTATACAAATATATACACATTCAACCAACTCTTGTATATTTTACTTTTTATATGCGTTGTAAAATTTTTATGATATTTTTTTCAATTCTATCAAATGAAATATTTTTCTCTTTTGTCTCCTACAACTTTCATTTTTATAACTTTTTTATCAATCCTAATCTCCAATTATTATTGTAAACATTTTGGTGGTAGTAAACCCACATGCCTTTGGTTCAACTAAAGCATATTTCTATAAATATTAATTATGTATCCAAAAAAGAAAGAAAAATAAAAGAAAAAAAGTAAAACGAAAAATACCTATCAGTTCGAAAAAATAATAACGTACATAGATTAGGGATTCCTTTTGTAACATCATTTTTGAACGTTGTAACTTCAAAAATATATAAGACACTTGTGCAATCAATCAAAACAAAACAATTCGTCCATCATCACTTGTTCAAAAATGTATCTACAATTGCACCATGTAAACACAAATTTAAAACTTCAAGATCAAATAATAATTTTTAAAGTTTTCAAAAAACTGTTTGTTGCAACCGCATCATTCTCCACTCAAACAATGTTATCTTTCTCACATAGGTAAGTTATTGCACAGCAGGTTGGACAGGCATTGAATTTATCTGAAGAACAAGCGGAGCAAGGAATGATGTCCGATAATTCAATACCTGCATCGGAAGCTCCGCTAAATTTTGTCTGTTGCGGTGAAGGCACAAAAACAGTAAGCGGTACCAATCGCCAAGTATATAAAAATTGCATGTACCTGGCAGTAATTTCAGGTCTTCGAGCCGCTGCAAGTAAATTAAGCGAGAGTAACTTGCTCTTCAAATCAACAATGCACCCCATACCCAGCTGTCTTATATGTGAGAAACTTTAGTCTGTCATCAAGGTGCTGCCAAAGACACCGAGACTTCCACAGTGTAGGTGACTAACAATTTTGTAGTCGGAATATAAAGTAAACAATCGTTAGAAAAACGTCATCAATGGTCCTCAATCCTGGCCGGCTACCTTTTCCTGCACCACACCAACTGTGATACAAAAGGAGAACAGATACATGTGATTCAGGACTTGAAGAGATGAAAGGAAAAGTGAACGTTGCTCGGAGCTAGTGAGCCTTCATTGAAGGCTTGCCTACAAGGATGTGGCTCACTCCAATGGCACCAGCTTTCTGATCAGCTAAAGCAAGAAGGCTAGTCCTGTAGCCAAGATCTTGTGAGGCTAAGTTCCTATCGAGCTCTACCATTATTTTACACATAGAGTGCAATCGGCTAGTCCAACTGTCATAATCGTAGCTACTCCAATCCGCCGTTCGTGCCAGAAGTAGAAAGTCCTCGGTTGTGATCACTGATCGTAGCCAGTTAGACCTGGGGTATGTCAAACAGTGCTCTAATTGTTTGGGAGACAGTGGCTTTGAAAATGACCCCACAATCTCCTCACCACTACACTCGGGCTTCTCTACTTCGTCAACAATTCCAGTGAATGAAGACGATGCAACTGCAAATTGAAGTTTCCCAACACAGCAAGGAGAAGCGACGTAACCTGCTCGCCACCTCAGAGCTTGCATGAGAGCAAGATCAGTAGCATGCCCGCAAGCATGAAGCGCCACACAAGCGTCGAATGGCTCCATGTAGTCTTCAATCCGACCCTGTCGGGTAATCGATTCGGTTAGCGCAGCAAAAGGAGAAAAACCTAGCAGCGAAAGAGATATTTGTTCGAAGCCAAGAGTAAAATCATCTGTAAGATGCTGCGAGGCTTTGTCACAATTCAAATCTTTCAGCTCAGTAATTAACAATCCAAGGATTGCAATGCCAAATTATAAGGTTAATGTCCATCAGACGAGGGACTTGATGAATGTAGCGTTGTGAAGTATTTGAAGATGCAATGTGTGTTGGTAATTTCGTTCATTCTGATACAATGAACCAAGTCCGACTTTGGAAGCTAAAGCTTGAGGTTAAGGGAATCACATACCTGCCATGTAGTAAGATTAGCCAGTTTTGCTGCTTGTGCTCGCATGGCAAGCAGTCTTAAGCTTTCTAGTTTGTAGTCCACGCATATGAAGGTGAGTTCCTTGAAAAGACAAGCCAACGGAAGCGAGAGAGCACCTGAACCACTCCCAAAATCCACCACGACAGAACCTGCGCGGAAAAAAATGTCTCAACTCTGTGAAAAAATCACCTCGTCAATCTTTACAGAGCGTGGCACCCAGACTGAACATAAAACATGTTGTCAATCCAACGACTGGGCGTTTTGAGGGATGAGGGATCTACCTGAACCCCACACCCTAAATCAGGAATCTTGCAATAAAGCATCCCTTCGTGAAGAGGAATTCCAAGAGATAATTTGAGGTTGCATAGCTTACCTGGAGAAAGGTTCAGGAACTTCAGGGCTGTTGCAATGCTCTCCACTTGAGACCTTTTCCGCGCTCCGCGACCTAACCTATCCTTCTCTCCCTCCCCAGTATCGTCGTAATGGCCCCCGCCGCAACGATGTCCCCCACCCTCTCTTCGCAAGATTTTCCGGGTGGTGAGAGCTGGTGCCTTATACCCAAATCCTCGAAACGGGTCTGCAGTAGCAGGAATGACACTCCAATCCACCCTAAAAATCCCCTTCTCTCCAAGCTCTGAAACGGCAGAAAAAGGCCACATCACGTCAGGAGGAAGCTCCCCGGAGAGCTCATCTTCACTACACCTCTCATCATGCCGTGCCACTCCACGGCAATCACGATAAACGAATTGCTGGAGCTCCGCATGGTTGCGCAAGCTCACAAGTTCACGGTCAAAGTGTAGCGCCGGAATTCGTCGCAGGAGGGCGACAATCTGCGACCGTTGCAACGAGTCTCGAGAAGGACCTCCTTGGTCTCGGAATTTCTGACGACGAGTTCTCTTCGGCTCCAAGCACCTCCCACCGGGATGACTCGATGCACCGCACTGCTGCTCGCGACCAGGCGAGGCTCTCAACATCAATGACTCCTCAGTAAGATGCTCTAAATACCAGCAAAAACCCAGAATGGTGCTGAGGTGCACCATCGCTGTGAAGAGCTTTCCTCGCAGCAAGCCCTCATGTCCTCCTGTGCCACTCCTGCTGAATCTACTACATCTGCATCTGTGCTTGTGCTCATGCGCATGCTGTGCACCCACATTCTGCAGTTTCCGATTCCGAATCCCTCGAGCCCTGTTGCCGGATTCGGCACTTGCTGGTCGAGCTCACTCGCAGTGAACATCCATTGAGGAAACTTACAACCATCATGCACACAAACAGCCTTCCACACACACACACATTCACAAGTATTGTGTTTGTTTGTGTGTGTGTGTGTATTTCTTTCGAGAATTGTTACGTGTTAGTGATGTTTATTTTGTTTAGCACAACTGGTGACATTGGCACTCTTCTTTCTTCTTCTTTAATTCTTTTTTTTTTTTTTTTTTTTTTTTTTCTGCCATTAGTATGAAAGAGAAGGAAGTCTTTCCTTGAGCATTCTGGAATGTTTTGGAATTGTCGGATTTACCTTTCTTTGAACTAGTCAATGTTGGCCTTTGGAGTTAGCATTTTTTTGTTGTTCTTGATTTTTATTTTTATATTTACATTTACTTTTTGATAAGTTTGTTTTTTCATTTGAAACTAGCTGATTATTTAGAAAGTGGGAATATAATAATATTTAAATGTAATATATCTAGAACACTTTGAGAAATGTATTTAGCTTGGCTTTATTTTGCATGCATAGATCGTACTTTTGTTCCCAACACTTTTAACATTGAAATAGATAGAGGATAAATACTATAAGTAAAAAGCAAATGAGACAGACAAACAACTTGTTATTGCACAAATGTGAAAACAAATGCAAATCGTAATGTGTGAAGATTGCAGGTTATACACTATGCAATTATCGGCTGTACTAAAACATTGAAGAGTAAAATAAACCAACACAACAATACCTTTTTCAGTTTGATTATTTTTGTTGGTACAGATAAATATAATTGAGATCATTTAAATCTAGATCTGAATTTGTTTATTGTAAATTTGGTGATACAAAGATCATGGTTCCAAGAATTATTTATCACAGATGTTTTTGTAATTTCAAATTAGAACAGTGACAATTTTATCAATGAACTCGGAACTTCGTAGATACGCTCAAACGAAGGGAGATTGTTGCAGTATGACTTTCAGTAAACATGAAGGGCTCCCAGAAAAGCCAAGAGTCAGAATGAGTATCCGGAATTCGTGACACAAATATTAAAAATGATTGCTTAATCAGCATTCATTCTTTACTGATATATTGCTTGCTAGGTCACAACAGAAGCCTTTCCACATGATGAAATACATTCGCCAGCCTACTTACTTCATCGTGTAGGTCAAGTGACTTTCAATCTAAGCTGCAGCAACGGTCTTCCTGGAAGCCGCTTGGGTTCCTGCAAGAACCAAATGGAAATCATGTGACTGCTTGGAAATGGTGAGTTGCAACAGAACTCTACAAGTTAAAACCGGGAATTAAAAATGACGACCGAGGTTAGACCGTCAACACGCTATTGAAGATCTCCGACAGATGTTGTAGGGCCCAATGCTGTAAAATGAGGAGCGTAATATCCTAGGGTTGTAACCCGTGTTCGGGTGCTCCACAGTGAACTGCTAACAAGCAGTTCGATGAGCTTAGTCTTGAGCAGGATATCTCGGACATAGAACAGAACATACCTTCTCTGAAATTGTTGGAGAACCGGCGGGGAAGATGACGCAAGTGGCGCATACGTCCAGTCCCCGTGGTCTTCCTCCTGATAGCCTTCACACTCCAGTTGTCTGGTACACAACGCCCAAACCAAGAGAAAACTCATAAACCCTCCGTTGGTTTCATTGCAAACAGAACATATGTTCGAACTTGTCCTAGAAAGTAAATCTATACATACAAGGGCGTACTAACATTGTACTTATTCAGGACATTGCAAGTGTAGAAGCTGAGGAGTGACCTAATAAAGACAGCATAAGGATCTCGACTTCAAATGAAAAAGAGACAGCTAGTCACGAAAGAACTCACAGCTGCGAACTCTCGCGGCAGGGTATGCACAGGCCGAGCAACGGCTCTTCTGGATGTGAAAACTTCTACGGCCACAACGCCTGCACAGCGTGTGGGACTTGTTACGGCGCTTGCCGAAACTACCTGTTCCCTTCGTCTGTCACGACCAACAAAAGATCGAGTCCAACGCCAGACAGCCTCAATATACTCATGTGACAAAAACTGTGGGCGAAGTACATAACTGGATACAACCTACGTTGAACCGAAGTTGCACATGACAACCAAGTCATATCCGCTAGTGAGAGAACCTAAAAAACAGGTCCTCAACCATGCGACCTAAATCACAGAAATTCCAAACAACCACGCAAATAGAAACAATGTACCTAGTAGAGTAGGTTTTCACGAGACGATCACAAGCATTACAAAATCCTGTACAAGTCTTCTCCAAGTAAAACGCCACAGGTGCTAGAACAGAAATAACGATGCAGTGGAATAATGGCAAGGCAGTGCATTACCATGGTGAGCGACGGCTGTGGAGAATGCTGGCAGCGAAGGACCGATAGCAGCGCTGGGAAAGAACTACTCTAGACGCAGACAAGGGTTTTGTTTCCCCGGCCTCAAACCCTAGAATTCCGATATCCGACACTCGATATCTGGTTTTGGATCCATGCCCTCCACACAACCCTATTTGAGTTTGATGGCTGCTTCATCTCTCATACCCGGACCACTTCCGGCTGATACATCGGTGACTCGTTATATGTCCCGGTCGCTTGCTGAGTCGAAACCCATCTGGCTCTTATGTAGTCTGGATAGTTTGAATCGCAACCCTAATGACATCGAGATAATCTTCATATTCATAATACACGTTTATATTCATAATAGTAATTGAGAGTTGAAAATAATGGAATTAGTTGAATATACTTATATATATAACAATGAATGTTATGGTATGACTAGTTGAACATAATTGTAAAAGCTATTATATATATATATATATTAATGTGAAATATTGTAAATCTTATTACTCTTGCATACAAAATGAAAAAACAATCAAATTCACTTGTTTACATGTTTAAATTATATTTATTATAATTATACTTACAAAGTACATGAATAATTTGTTTTTAAGATGATTCCAATTTATACCAAAGAAAGTCACTAATTTTAAATATTTTTTATTTTTATTGTTTGTTTAAGATATATTATAGAAAAATAAAAGTTGATACTTTGGTAGCAGATTCGTATTCAAAGCTTCCAAACTTCTAAGGCATATTTTCTTCTAATTAACTATTAAGTTCATTGATGTAAATGCACTTTTTTTCTAACTTGACTTTACAAGAAAACATTTACTAACTTGAAATACTTTCTAAATGATTGTCATTCATTTATTTATTTAGTTATGTAAATGATGGTTGAGCCACTATCAAATCCAAAGTTTTTAGAAGAATAAAGATAGCCCTTGACAACAACAAGGCTAAATAAACTTTGACAGGACTAAATTGCTAATAATATACTACCAAACTCAATTGCATTCTACAAATTACAATCTAAAACCAAATTACACTACATTTTAACTCCAATTGCACATGTTTGTGGCAATCTCCAGGAAGAACCCAATTTTCTCAACCCTTCATTAGTACTTAAATCATCACCCCCTGATTTGCTCCTATATTGTAAGTTCTTTACTCAGCCCAAGAGCAAAACACTAGAGGTATGAACGGAGCTCTCAACAAAGCCAGCAAAACCTCGACAGAAGAGAAACCCACCTCAGTAATGGATCCCAAAAAATTAGGGTTAGCAAAATCTCAGTTGCAGGGGCAAAACGAGGGGAATGGCTAAAGGAGCCGAGCATTCCCGAGCACAGCACAACATGCGTGCGGGTCCCTGCGAGGGAGGGACCACCGCATCACTCCGGATCAAGGTCGGCAAACACACACACACATAACATTCTCACTCTTTTCCCCGCATCTGACCAGCGCTGCTTGATTCCATTGCGTTTTGTGGATATTTTTGGAGTCACCGTTCATCTCGTGGGTGGTGTTTGTTTTTTGTTTTTGTAGAGTGGAGGATTGAATCATGGAAGCCGTCGATACTGTAGTGAGGCCCGTGAAGGACTTCGCCAAGGATAGCATTCGCTTGGTCAAGCGGTGCCACAAGCCCGATCGGCGAGGTGAGTTGGATTGCTGAAAGATTTGTCTTTGAGTTTAGACTTTGTTCCGTTTTACGATAGAGGAGTGGTGTGTGGTTTCCAAGTCGCTGGTTCCTGGCGTGTAATTTGTGGGTTAAGGGTTGCGGTTGTGTGGGTCTTGCATTCAATTTCGTCGTGCTTCCATTTCAAGAGCTGGGTCGTGGTACGTTATCCCGCCATGGTGCGATGCTCTGAAGGAGTTTGCCCCATAGAGGCTGTCGGTTTTATTTGTAGTGAGATGGACTTCACTGTGGTGAGTATTGTTACCTAGTGCTAGATTGTGTTGTGTTATGTAGTGCTGGGAGGGGTATGAACGCATAAGATGAGCTTTTTACGTCTGGGAATGACATTCAGCACTCTTTTTCGCGTTTGCAGAATTCTCTAAAGTGGCCATCAGAACCGCTTTAGGGTTTATCGTTATGGGCTTCATTGGATTTTTTGTCAAGCTCATTTTCATCCCTATCAACAACATCATTGTTGGATCTGGATAGTGCAGTGCTTGGTGAGTTTTCTGGTTTGAAAAAGGTTGAAGATTAGCTCAGTCGAAGGAGTTTCGGGTATGTTGTTTATTTGCGTTTTTCTTAACCGCAAAGAACACTCCGAGGGCTACGTAAACATGGCCATCTGCACGGCATAAATGTGCACCTCAAGGCCTCAAGTTCGTATGGTTATGCAGCTCTATATGTTTGCTTCATAGTTTCATTAATATTGGAGTTGAATTTGCTGTTTCAGATTTTGCTGGGTCTAATATTCATTAATAGCAGACACCGAAGAATTAGGTCACTGTTATGACCTGGTTTTAGATTGTTCGAGTGAAAGTTGGCTCTTTCTTGTGCTTGACCACATTTTCTGGCTCTCTTTCGCTGGAACCTAAATTACGACCACTGTTTGGCTGCAATCTAGTGTTTGTGTGTGTGGTGCACTGCAACCTTCAGTCTGCATAAAAATATGCAGACGTGTGTGTGTATCGTATGTACATCTGAACGGTGTCAGATTATCAGTCATTCCCAATCTTCGGATTGTAGGTCCTTTGATTTAAGTTCAGACTTAATTCTAAACTGATGTGATTTTGCTCATCAATATCAGACAACTGCCACGACCGAGGCTACCTCCTGCTGTTGGGCTTAACCATGAGCAGATCCTTGCGTGGCATATCAGTTTGTGAAGTTGGCCGTACAGGCAGAATATCTGCGACGAGAGGCAGTCTACCTACGTTTTTGTGAATAACCATAGATGTGATAATACTTGATTCCTATCTTGGGGCCTGAGTTTAAGTGAACATTATCTGAAAAAATTGATATATTCAACATTTTCATGTAGAGATTCTTGCAAGAACTGTTTGCTTGCTGAACTATCATTTCAGTTAAGTTTGCAAAGCGTCATAGTACAACATATGTGGAAAGGCCGAAGTAAGTCCTTATCAATATTTTCTATATTTCAAATATTTTTCAAGTGGGTGCGCTCGTTTAATGACATCTCCAAGAAGGTGTAGGACAATCTATTTTAACGTTGCAATTAGCAAGGCTGCAAACTTGCCTTTAGATTGACAAAAACCTTAAAAAGCATCCAAGACTTTCATTCCTACATTCTAAGGACAGTCCTTTACCAGTGAACTATTTTTACAACAGATTCAGTTCTAACCAAAATTTGACCGATCGCTTGCCAATACCTGACACGCTCTTCTGGTAACTCATCTTTCAAAGGGCTGAATTGGCTCCCTACAAAATCTGGGAAGGTAGAATTGAACTGATACACTAGATATAATCAGTCCAACAGTAACACATATTTGAAGTGAAATTCAATATTTTCCTTTCAGGTAACCGATCACGCTGTTGACATCCTTGTCACCACGGCCACTGCAATTGAGGACCACTCGGGTGCCATCCTCAAGTGTGGGGCAAAGCGTCTCCAAAAAGGCCAGCGCGTGGGATGTCTCCAGTGCCGGAATGATGCCCTCCAACTTGGACAACCTCTGGAATGCTGCAGTGACAACAGAGAAGTCTCAGAATTTTAATAAGTCGTGATGAGGGAGCATAAACTCTATGTGTTGATAGCCATCACAATACGTTCATGGCGAATATTCTGAAACTAACTAAACCTGTGACACTAATGACCACCAACTGTTATTGACCTCACAAGAATCATGCACAGTCTTTACACAATGACATGGCAATTTCAAGTCAACTTCCTTCGTACCCTCGAGGGCTTCATCGTCAGTCACGCTGAAGTATTCTGCTCGACCAACATCCTTCAGGAAACTGTGTTCGGGACCAACACCTGGGTAATCCAACCTGGGCACCACGAACTCCCAGTCAATACTATGTCCTATAATGTATATACGTGATCGATGAACAGTTTCAATGAAGTGACAAACACAAGTCTAGGGTACAATAATCTGATCTTAAGAAAAAAAAATTCTTAGTTGAAATCACGATGTATTATGGAGCTAGCAAGCGACCTGAGCAACAAAACATGAAAGTAACAGACGCCAGAATCAATACAATACCTAAGCCTCAGTTTATCCCGTGAATGCTTACCCCGCACTAATAGAATGTGGCTCGATAATCTGGCCATCACCATCCTGGAGCAAATAACTCATTGCACCATGTAAGACACCGACTTCTCCCATGGTCAGGGTTGCAGCATGCTTGCTTGTATTGGTACCAAAGCCAGCTGCTTCGACACCAATGAGACGGATGTCCTCATCTTCAATAAATTCATGGAACAACCCCATGGCATTGGAGCCTCCTCCCACACACGCTACAAGAACATCGGGCTTACCACCCCACTTTTCCATTGCCTGGCGACGAACCTCTGTTCCAATCATTGCATGAAAGTCTCGCACAATCATAGGGTAAGGGTGCGGTCCGGCAACTGAGCCAAGAATGTAGTGAGTAGTTTCCACATTCGTAACCCAATCGCGAATAGCCTCTGAAGTGGCATCCTTCAAAGTGGCGGTGCCAGAATTAACAGGACGAACCTGGATTACAAAGCAAAAAAGTTGAGGTTAGGGTTTAGGATTACTGCACAAATTACATGGCTGCCTCATCTACATCAGCATACACATTCTGACGCAGTTTCACAGCATTTGATTCCAAAACCTCCTGTCTTTGTTGCACAATAACAATAATTTGATTTCAGTTTTAACGATTTCACACTTGACCTCACAAGTAGGGTTATGAACTCCATACCTCAGCTCCAAGAAGACGCATTCGGAATACGTTGAGGGCTTGCCTCTCCATATCCTGAGCGCCCATATATACAATGCACTCCAGTCCAAAGCGAGCACACACTGTGGCGGTGGCAACACCGTGCTGGCCTGCTCCTGTCTCGGCAATAATGCGCTTCTTCCCGATCCGCTTTGCCAACAGGGCTTGGGCAATTGCATTGTTGATCTTATGAGCGCCAGTGTGGTTAAGATCCTCTCTCTTCAGATAAATCAGAGGTCCTTTCCCGTCACGTTTGTAGTGCTCTGTCAGACGTTCAGCGAAGTACAGAGGTGTTTCCCTACCCACGTAATCCTTAAGTACGTCATTGAGCTCCTTCTGTACAAAATAAGGAAAATCATGTTAACTTAGCCCTTAGAATCTATGCAAGTAACTCGATGTTTCGAGACCTACCCTAGAGAAATAACTGAATAACTAAATAAATACATAATCACGCAATCACTCTACAAAAGTGCTAGCAAGAATTGAGACATTTGATACCTGGAATTCGGGATCCTTGATTGTCGCACGATATGCAACCTCCAGATTACTAAGAGCATCCATAAGAGTCTCAGGAACATACTTTCCTCCATAAATTCCGTATCTTCCGAAGGAGTCGGGGCGCTCGTGGCCTTTGTACGTTCGGATATCATCTTGATCCCTAGTGTGCACATCCTTCGCAGTTGCATCGCGTGCAAACACGCCAGCGGCCCCGTTTATAGAAGAAGACGATAGGGCATTAATCTGTGTAAGTCTTGCATCCTTCAATGCTGATGGCTTGCGCACCACTTGAAATGAAGCAGTACAGCCAGTAGCTTGGGTTGGAGCTAATGCCGCCATGACCATATTAGAGGGCGGTTCCCGCTACCTGTGACGTCAACAGAAGCCATGAGAAAGTGGAGATTAATCTTAATTTGTGACGTTCTTAAAGATTACGTGGGTAGGGAAACACCTCTATACTACACGCCTTGTGGTAGACAGCGCACTTTTCTCACCACCGACAGCAGAGGACAGACTTTCATGGCTCCCCACAACAAAATTTGTAGAGCTAGAGCGCGAGAAATACTAATCGACCTCTGAAAGTCAAAATCAGAATTAATAGTCCGAAATTAGAACACAGATCACAAAATGCATGGTTTACTAAGGATCTTACAAATAGAAAATCCAAGCACAGACGATTGCAGAAGACAAAATAGACGCAGCGGCACACACTAAAACCCTGCGAGGGTTTACCAAAAGCACAAAGTAACGAAGTCCGAACGAATTGCAGAAACCTCCGCCACAAAGGAATTGTGCAGAGTGGCGGAACCCACCTGAGAGTACGCTATCGGGACTCGTAAACTGAGAATCGAACAAAGAGTTTCACGAATCTTCAAAGGCAAATAGTAGCTGTGGGAAAGGGGCGGTGACGGAATGAACAACTACAACTAACGTAGTACTGGCCTCTTCATGGATTTTCAGCTAACTGCGACCACATGCCAAAGGTGGCACACGCACGCACGTGGGCCTCTATTTATACTAGAACACCGCTTGTGTGAAACTGGTATTCCACGATTCTGGTGAGAGTGACGACTTTTATCAGCAAAAAATGAAATCGGCAATAAGTCTCGGAAATTTGCGAAGTTTTTTATCCATGCAAACTCAACCCTATTGCTGTTTTGATGGACGGAGTGGAGCTTTACACATATATTTATAATCTAGTTTTAAAAAACAGCTCTGTGTTTGCCTATTGAAAGGTCATGCTAGCAACGCCATGGCAATGGAACCTGATGTGCAGATCATGCGGATCTAGGGCTCTTTTTTTTTTTTTTTTTTTTTTTTTTTTTTGAATTGTATGATGTTGGGAATGAAGCAAAATCAATAAAAGTTCGTCAACTTCGCAGAGGATGACATGTCCATCTCGATTTATTTTGTAGCATTTTGGTATATGCGTAGCGATGCTACAATAAGTCGCTAGGGTTTTACAGCAGCCAAAGGTTTGCGCACATTTTAGGAAAGCTTGACATGGTGGTTTGCCATGTTTGTTTTTGTGAAGTGAGAGCAAGCACCAATTGCCTTGTGAGTCAAGTGTTGCGTTCTGGGTGCGCACATTTTAGGAAAGCTTGACATGCTTCCTTAATTTGTAAGGACACTTGGGAGTGGTCTTGTTTGTATAAGGTGTTTTTGTGAAGCTCGCTCGACTTGGGTGAGTGTTGTTGGCATTGTGCAAGTCGATGCTCCATGATTCAAGGTGAAGGAAAGGGTTTGGGCATCTACGCCATGAACTTTCGGTTTGCATCAGCGCAATTCCATGCTGCTGAGTGTACTAACCGAATGTGATTCAGCGGACAGTTGAGCTGCTTCCAGGAGGGGGTTTGCCATGGATGCCACAAGTAGGGTACCGGGGCGGCCACTTAACTGGCTTCCCTCTGGACTGACTGCTTTTATGCTGTCGCTTGAAAAAACAGACTCTCTTTCTGTGCAGCTCAAGGCGTTCAGCGTAACTCAGGCGGTGAAGGCGCTCCTTTCGTCGAAGTCCCAGAAGGATCTGTGGGGTGTTCCAACTTCTTCCTCGGAATTCAACAGAAGTGCTTCCCTGGATGCTCTGCGAGAGCTTGCGAAACCTTTGGGAGGAGCCATTGCCGTAGCTGGACTGTATGGCGGTGTATCCATGCATCTGGCAGGATTCCACACAGCCTCCATTTCGTGCCAATGTGAGAGCGAGGAGTTTTGTGAATGCAATCACAGCTATGGCTTGTGTGTGTGCGGTGATCCCGATTGCTTGGTTTGTGAACGTTGCGCTTCGGAGGAAGACTTCGAGCCGCGCGAGTGTGAGGAGAATTACGGCCCAGAGTTGCAGCACCATTGGGGTTTCCCGTTTACAGGGTCTGTCTTGCTGAATAGCCCTAATGCACGTTCTCCAAAATACAGTTCTGATGCATATTTTCAAGGAAGAAGGGACACCAGGTCACAGAGATTTGCAAATATGAATCGGCCAAATGTGCAGAATTTCGGTTGGGCAAATCCTTTAGAGAGGCGAGCTGCTTTCGGGGGTAAAGATTCAGCACAGGGCACAAGCGGCAGCTCTTGGGGGGCTGTTCAGGAAAGTATGACTGAGGATGATGGACAGGATCTCAAAGGAGTCTCTGAGAAGTTACCTTCAACGTGGGCCATCAACGTTGTTCGCAAAAGAAAAGGTGCCCAGAATGACCTTGTGGGCAGCAATACTGAGCACCGAGAGAAAGAGGAAGATCGGCAGAGCTCGGAAAACGCTGAAGCATCACTTCGAAGGGTCGACCAGGGAAGCGAAGAAACCGAAACCGCCGCAGAATTGCAGGAACGTCGTTCAACGCCCAGTTCGGTGAGTGAAGCTGTTGCCGCTGTCAAACCAAGCCAAAACAAGGTGACTGCGCTTAAGAGTCCGAAATGGTGGCCTTTTGGACTGCAATCTGCAGCTTCAGCAGTGGACAACGAGCCTGCGCAAACGGAAGCATCTTCCACTGTGGTGAATCTCGAGACGACGAAATGGAACTTTCGAATGGGACAGAACGCAGGCGCAGGAGCGTTGGCAGGCGGGGTTGTGAGCCTTTGCTTGCATCCTATTGATACTGTGAAGACCATCATACAAGCGCAGACTGGCAGCAATCGCAACCTCCTTCCCATTCTCTCCTCTGTTATCTCAACAAGAGGTACATGTTTGATTGAAGCGAATTTGCAAAGCACGTACCTGTATGTTAGTTAAGTGCTGCCACATCTCTGAAGTTTCTAGCAGACCTCTTTCTATATAAATTCTTACCGAAATAAGGGCATCTTGCTCCCAGGTTTGAAAGGTTTGTACAGGGGTCTAGGAAGCAATTTAGCTTCATCAGCTCCAATCTCAGCTATCTACACGCTTACTTATGAAGCTGTCAAAGCTGGCTTGCTTCGTCACATTCCAGAGGTATGGCTTATCTGATATTGAAAGATGTTAATTGTATTCTGAAAGTTTTGTACCTTGCATCATGGTCCTATGCACGTTGGCTGAAGAATTTTGATGAATTGGTCTGTCTCATTGAAGGTACTTTTGATGATTATAAGACTTAGGTATTGATCTGATATGGACAGGACATGTCCGCACTGGCGCATTGCGCTGCAGGTGGATGTGCAAGTGTTGCCACCTCAATTGTTTATACACCTAGTGAATGCGTGAAGCAGCAAATGCAAGTGAACGGATTGTATCGAAATAGCTGGTATTTTTCTATTCTATCCCTTGATTCGTAACCCTTGAAGTTGCCGATTTTCCAATGTAGTCGCTTATGTTTATATGCATACTTTATTTGAACCTAACGAAGCTTACGCCAAGATATTTCATGCAGTCCCGTGTCCATATTCATCTGATATACGAACATGTGAGCCTTTTTTTAAGAAGAAATACTTGAAACCAAGTCCAATACTTACACCATGTATTTATGGAATAATCCAGGCAAGCATTCACGTCAATACTTAAGCAAGGTGGACTACCTCTGCTGTACAAGGGTTGGGGAGCGGTACTTTTTCGAAATGTACCACAATCTGTAATTAAGGTATGTATCTCATAGTTGTCGACTTTATCATGTATTTTCCACGCTAGTCACATTGATTTGAACTAAGAGATTCAACCTAATCTGGTGAATTCGAGTTTGTTTTGGTAGACAAATTGCTCTACAACCAGGGACGAAGTCGTATAATTTATTTATGCTAATGTAGAGCTGATCTTTGGTGGCCCACCGTTTGCGACTTGTTGCTTGATGCTTTGCATTCGAGAGTAATATCATTTGCTGTGGTGGCCTCACAGTTCTATACATACGAGGGTCTGAAGCACTGGGTTCAAGGTGGTCCACGGCGTGACACTCCTTTGACCACACTACAAGCGGTACAGCAGATCAGCTGTGGACCCTTTTCTATTGCAGCTGAGTTTATATCTAGTTACATGAGACGGCTCACAAGTTAGAGGATGAGTCTTGCGTGCCTAAGTACTGCTGCACATTGGATGCGCAATTGGCTTTTTGATTTCGAATTGAAATAAGAATAATCCACTCCTGATAGAAATTCATCAATTGTTGACAACCTAACATGATCCATGATTTCTTATCATCCTCACGCATGATCACTAGTTTATCTAGCTGATATTCAATTCTTTGTGCAGCTTGCCATCGGCGGTGCTGCTGGATCGACCGCTGCGTTTTTCACTACTCCATTCGATGTTGTGAAAACTCGGCTTCAGACGCAGGTATTGAGCTTCGTTCTGGAATGATTTTTACAACACCCTGTTGCACGAAATCAGATTTATATGTTTTCCATGTAAGAGAATCCCTCGTGCATCCTTTGTCTTAAATTCATCATAGTGCTGTAGTTGGGCCATTGCTTCAGCGTACAACAAGATGGAAAAGTAGGCTGACTTGGTATTCATTGTACAGATACCTGGGTCAGTTCAGCAATACTCTGGAGTGGTTCACGCTTTTCAGTGCATTGCCACAACAGAAGGCATTGCTGGATTATATCGGTGAGTTTCATCCTAGATCATTGCATCTCCAGAATCTTCAGCCTTGAGATGAACTTCATTGTGCGGATTCTTAGTTTCTCATAGCATCTTGTGATGTAGCAAATCTACAGTTGCTGTATATCTTTGTATAGTGGCTAATGGCTAATGCGTTCTGAAATAGAATGTTGACCAAATTCATGCACGCTTGCAGGGGACTGGTACCTCGTTTAGTGATATATGTCACTCAGGGAGCTCTTTTTTTCGCGTCGTATGAATTTATCAAACACATTTTGACATTGGAAGCTCCAAAACTTCGTATGAAGTCACGTCAGATTGGAGGCTATGAACGACAGGCCGCATCTACCCCTGCGGAGTTCACTTGAAGTTTGGTATCTATTCCTTGTGAATGCAGAAATTGTTGGGTTGATATGTGCAACTATGCCATATTGACTATTAATGCAAGAGCTAGAGATCCTTGAGAACGGCAAGATCGCGAAGGTACTTTTCCTGTATCCTTCTTACTCCTCGAGGCTTCATTTGTCGAGGATTCTGATAAGAGACGAATGTTATCTTCTTCGGTTGCTCTTTACGTGGCCACATTGCAGACAATGAGACCCTGGGACCATTAATTTATACATAGCACACGGTAGTGTTTTTGAGCCAGAAGGCCCTCGCTTGTCTTGATTGTAGCACACTCTCTCATACCTGACTCCGTTCCGTTTTTTCCGTCTTTGTATCATCCTGCAATGCAGACGTCAAGATGTGTAAGCCACAACTTCTTAGGTTGAAGATGTAATTTCTAACATTCTCTTTTTATGTGAACGTCTCAAAGCCTACTGAAAATTGCAACTGTCCTGGTAAAACCTCCTTGGAGCCTATCTTGCTTGTAGTGATTTCTATCAACGTCCACAATGTTGTGTTGACGTTTGCCCGCAGGCCATGTATGCCCATTGGACAATGCATTAACAGAAGATAGCACCACGCTCTCTCTCTCAATATATATAGATATATATATATATACAAATTGATTTTTATACATAAGTCAGTTTGTTACGACATGATATTGTGTATATTTACTTAAGTGCTTAAGATACTATTATGCAGGCTAGGGTATGAAGGTATTGAACTCTGCTCTAAATCTGATAACATCCTTCTGGACATGCTGCTCTACACGCAGAAGACTAAAGCTCTGCAAGTTGTTTTCTTTGAAGTTTTCCTGGGATTACTCTCCTTTTTTCCTTCTCTTCCTATGTTTTTTCTTCTTTCTTTTCCTCTTTCCCTTCTTTCTTGTCTTCTTTTCCGACTTCTTTCATTTCCTCTTTTCCTTCTTCTTTTATCTCCTCTTTTTCTACTCCTCTCTTTTCCTCTTTCAAGGGATTCTTCTGGTTCATGGGGTTCTTCCCTATCAAGTATTGAGCTAAGAAATCAACTGGGTTCTCAGGCCTGACAGAGCCATCCTACATGTTAGTGCGCTTTCAGCAAGTTCTCATAACCTGGCACTCAACTTGCATTTCACGAGCTGGTAATAATATAGATGGGTCATTTGTGTGAGCATTCGTTGGAATACTTGTTAGCAAATCATACTTGGAAGTCCGAGGTTTCACGGAATCAACAGTTCTATACAATTTGCAACTCATCGCAGTGGACTCCTATCTGTCTTCGAAGAAACTTCAGAACAGAAAGAGCTTAGCATGTTGTATCCCAAGGTTTCAATTAATGTCTTCTGAATAACATACATTAAATCAGTGTGCTGCAAGAATTAGCAAACTCTGACTCAATTGCGTGATGTACTGTCAAGAGTTGCCAAAATACATACCTCTCGATCGCCAGCAGCTGTAACCCATGAAGCAACAGAGGAACTACTGTTGCTTCCTGCTCAACTAGCTGTAGGTTAGGTACTGATGCTAATTTTTTTCCAATAGAACCGTTCAGGCAACCCTTAGAATATGACACAATCAAACTATTTCGCAAGCCCAGATCTACAGAATATAGCACTTTGAAGCACGAGACTTTGTTCAGGATACTTGACGTATATTCGGGAAATTAACAAAACTTGTATCCTCAGATGAGTTTATGATATGGAGTAGAGTTCCCTTTACCAAGTATTGCCTTACAGGTAAAGCTCTAATCTCCAATCTCTCTTGAGCTTCTTTTGCCGCCAATGCTTCCTGCAGGGTTCGTGTGGTTCTAATCAACCAAGAACGTGAAGTGCTCACTGTCAAGATACATAGCCAACAAAAGTATTTCTAGAATGCTCGAATTGGATAACAGTGGTATCTCAGAAGGTGCCAGGTACGTATGCATGAGGACAATCCATACCTCAGGAGTCAAATTTAAAGCATCCTCATCTGCACAGAATGAATGGTCACATTTTCAGAAGCTGTGTTAGGGCACATACACAATCGAAGCGCAGAGGTGGCATGATCGGACTAAGAGCGTAACTCTCTTCACTGGCAGAGAACAGCATCGAGAAAAGTAAGGCAGACTTCACCAACGATCAGCTTCGAACGCATTGAAATAAATGCAACGCTGCTGTCTCGGGTTTCTAAACAAATAATAGAAACTGCATTGCATGAAGAATCCTTGGAATTTAGCCATGTCGTTATTGATATTCGAAATTAAAATTCTGATGACCTATTGGATCTCACAACAACACGTTTAGGCCACACTCGACACTAAACGAAACCTGAGTGAGCAAACTCGAAACCCTGATATACACGAATAGAAATGCGAGAGATAACTAGTACCGCCAAGCACGGCGGCAGCAGCAGTAGCAGCAGCAGCGGCAGTAGCAGCAACTGAAGCTCGGGCCACAGATGACTTCTTCTCTATAACAGGAGCTTTTTTCTCTACAACAGAAGCCTTATTCTCTAGAACCGAAGCTTTTTTCTCAAGAACAGAGGCCTTCTTCTCCGACATGGTTACAAATCACAGAGGTCTGCCAAAAGTAAAGGAGGATTTTATACAAGGAGTCATAATTCCTCATTCTGAAAGAAGGACAACGCAAATTAACGAAAGCTACCGGTTACGAAACAGGGCGACCGTTCAGGTGCCAATCAACATTTGGCCGTTGCCATGTCTATCGATAACGAAACCCTAAAGCAATTGACACATCCATAGTATAGTAGAGCACCTGCAAAACAGAGGCTCCATCACAAGGTGCCCAGTCTGAAAGACAGAGAAAATTCATGGCAACGAGGACCTCACAGCAAGTCATGCGAGGCATCACGATGCGGTTTGCTGCAGGGGGGAGGATCATCAAACATGAATCTGCAAACCTACTCATAAACGCATGAAAATTTTCTTCCAGAAAATTCAAAATGATAGAAACAAAAATCATAAAAAGGCATAAAACATCCACACTAACAGCGTAGCATTAGACTTCATTTTCTTACTGGCATGATTCTCCAACAGTTAGGGTTAAAAATTCGCTCCAAGGGGGCAGATTCAGCAACAATGCAATGAACATTTTCTGCCACTTTGAACATGTGATGGAGGTATCCTTTTTTAATGCTGGTGTCAGTATATCTCAACCTAACGTGAGTTCCTGTCACTACCGGAACACCAAAACTCGCATCCATGAGTTCCAGGTGAAACAAAAGCGAAGGCAAAAACCATTCAGGAATGCCCAACACGGTGCAGTTTTTATGCCGAACATGTGACATTTAGACAAAACAGCTGAGTCGGTGTTGCAGATTCCCTGCAGTCACAGTCCAAAACACTGCGGAGTTCGAGTGAGCATTGTTCATGGGACTCAACTCTAAAGCTACTAGCAAATCCTCTATGAAAACTAAGATGGTGTACAATGTTATAATCTTGTTTGTTTGTTTGTTTGTGTTTCTTCTGTCAATATACTATTTAATAGCATAATAATAGAACATTATAACATAAAACATAATAATAAACATTTAAAAAAATAGATCTAAAAATATAATATGAAATATTTATAATATACAATTTTATATTTTTAGCTATTTAAAATACTTCTTAGATGTTTTAAATTTTACTTCATTAATAGAATATGCTTCAAACTAAATCTATTATTTCATCTGCACAAGGCTTTTAAAAGCTAACATAATGGTTTTACTTACAATGTTTTTCTGCTCAATTCAATTATAAGTCTACATAATTTATTTTTTCTACATTCTAAATTTATTGATATTATTTTTTATTTCTTCTTTATTAAATTTTTATCTTTAGTTCTGAAAATTCCAAAAAGCATATGTTTGTATTCTTAAATACAAACATAAAAATTGCAATGTTTAGTTGACCTTAAGTTTACAATAATAGATATAAATAACCATAAAAATATTACAAAAGAAGCCTACATTGAATTGTAATGTGAAGTTTTCTACTATTTGTTGCAATTTCCAATTCAAAATGCTTATAAATCCATTACAAGTGTAACAAGAAGCAATGATTTAGGGATGGTTTTGTAATAAAAGCATAATATTGTAAGATTTGAGTCTATTATAATATTTTTTAAAATCCATATTAAAAAATAGGATTTTTTTATTAAGTCATTTATTAAGTACAAGTGAATTTAATAGATTAAGTTAGATTATTAGTATGATAAAATTTTAATATATTAAAATAAATTTAAATAATAAAATTTATAATAATATAATGGAATATTAAATCAAGCCAAGTAAATCTTAGATCAACCCATCTTTGCTCTAACCAACATACTCCATTTTTATCTTTATTTTCCTACATTCAATTTCATGCTTCAAGCCATGACCACAACAAATTGAAGCTCATCATTGTTGTCAAATGGTGATATAAATTTTGCTTATTTTATTTTAGGGAAGTTGTTATGCACATCACAATCCTTATTTTGAACTCAAATTCTTGCTTGATTTCAAACAAGAATAGCTTATTGTAATTTGGACAAGTGAAAAGCTATTTTGTTCAAATAAGAGTTGCAAAAATTGTATGGTGCTATTTAGTTCTTGCTTGTAAATTGTTGTTGTGTATCTTATTTCTTGGAGAACCTACTTGAGTATTAACAAGATTGATTAGAATGTGTTAGATAAAAATAAGAGATACATGAAACAATTATTATCAATTTAAAAGTTTTTTGAGTAAATTTATTTTTTTATTTACACACACACACACACACACACACACATATATATATATATATATATATGCAAATATTAAAATGATCCATCCATTTACTAAATCAATTTACCTTATTGTAATCATCATTAGAAAAATGGATCATCTTCAAGAACCATCATTACAATCATGGCCCTTATGCCAATCTCCCTCATTTCCAACCCATGTTTCCTCTACTCCCAGCCTAATAAGTGTCAATTATCAAAATTGTACTCACTAAACAACAATTCATTAGTAAAAATGTTAAATATATGACATACTTACATATTTTCTATTTTTTTAACTTGCAAAAAAATAAATGTAAAAGTATATATAAAGTCTTTAGTAACTAAATAAACAAATAAATAAAATAACAACAAATATTAACTTAAAAACATTTTTGTAAAATGTCTACAAAAAAAGAAAGAAAAAGAATGAATCCTAAAGCATAATACCATAATTAAAGACCTCAAACTTGAAACTGTGAAAGCCCTAACAATGCTTGCTAGATACTAATACAAAAATAACATCTAAAGCTAGCATAAAGACAACATCTCACTCTCATGTTTAACAGTTTCAATTAATTAAAATGTGTAAAACTAGTTTAAGGTGCACTTGGTGGGAACCCAAGTATACTATTGTAAATATTGAAAAGAGAGAGAAGTGAAGAAGTGAAATACAGCGAAAGATGTTACTTGAAAGCAGAACATGAAAATCAGGGTTAACAAACTCTAATCCAGATCCAGAACACAAAACAGAGAGAGAGGCAAGTAAACAAGCAAACAAACAAACAAGGGAGCCAGGAGGAAGGGAGGAAGGGAGGGAGTGCGAATCGTGCTCATCCATACAAAGCAGCGCGTGAGCTCATCCGCAAGCGTCGTCGTCCAACAGAATGCGCCTCCTTCGCGCACTCACTCACTCGCAGCAGCAACAAGCATCAACAACAAGCATGGCCCCTCCACTTGCAACAATCCTCCCTTGCGTCACGCTAATCCCCACCTCCCTTCTTCGCCGCATTGTCACGCTGCCTTCGCTCCTGCTCGCCCGACCCACCTGAACTGGACGTGTTGTTGAAGTTTCTGGCACTTTTCAGTACCACATTGCTGGGATACTCGCCAGTTGATCAGTGGATTCAGTCAGTTGGTTTTTCTGGGGATATTCGATGAGATAATGTAGTAGGCTTGAAGAGATAGGAATCGGGGTGGTTGCGTAAGGGCGTGGTGCGGTTTGGATCGTTGTTATAGATTAGGACTTGGGTTTTGGGAAAAGCTGGAATTGTGGGTTGATTGTTGGTAGCGAGGAGCTGCTCCTCTGGAAGTGCGAGAAGGAGGAGGAGGGGTGGAGATGACTATGGCGACGATGGGCGTAGCAGCTTTGAGCGACTGTGCTGCTGCGTCTCTTGCTTCCCCTTTCGCGACGCTGACCTCCTTGCATCGTTCCAAAGTACGCGGTGCTGATGGCTTTGTAACTGCGCTTCCAAGTTTTAGTTTTGATTTTTGATTTTTGATTTTTTTTACCTGAATTTTTAAGTGAACACAGATGATGTGTTGCGCGACAGATTGATCATGCCCTATTTCCCACGCAAAATTTTATGCTTGTTCTGAGTGCGTACTAGAACAAAGTATAGTGTATGGGTCCTTGGAGAGAGATGAGAGAATTTTGAGGATGGAAGGAGAGTGGAAATGCGGGGTGTCAAGGAATTCCTTGTACAGTTTTAAGTCAGCTGGTCTTATTTTCTTTGGCTGCATTGCTTGCGACATGCAGGTTTTTTATTTTTTACTTTTATTTTTTCTTTTAATTCTAATTTTTTTGAAGTTCTAGATTGAACTGGTTTGCGATAGTTGGATACTTGAAGATTGGAATGTCAAGCCCTAAAGTCCCTGCATAAGTTGAGTCTTCCCTACAGCCATGACATGTGCGAGCCTGATAATTGCATAACAGTAGTCGCCCTGGGATTTAATCTTTGTGACCGGTTTCTTCGCACGCTGCTTGCAGACAGCTGCCAGGATTACAATCGACAGAGCGTGCCGGGATTGGTCATCATTGGCTGTGTTATCTCCCGGAATGAATCCTGCAAGTCACACAAGAAGGTGAGACCAACAAACTGGCTCTGCCCCTGTCGTCCTCAATCCGTTCGTGTTCAGTGTCATACTTAGCTTTGTCTTCCATGGTTATTTACAGCAACATCAATCTTTGATTCGGAAGATTTTTTCCGTTTTTCCTTTTCTTTTGATGTAATTACTATCAACATAACTATTCTAATAACTGTTATAGCAGGAATTATTCTGCAGAGAAAAAATGCTGTCTGCATCAAATGCCTATTACTGCAGCACATAGGAAGGCAAATCTGCGCGTTAGGAAGCAAGAAAGCGTCCCGTTAGTAACACTGACTGACCCTTCTGGAGTGTCACATCACTTGAGCTCTTTCCTGCAGCAACCTGCTGGCACACAGTCCATGCTCAACACAAGAGCCTTGATGAGGTACGAGTATGTGGGTGACGATGTATACCGGTGCTACCTGCCTAAAGTAACGCTGCTCAACTTCGAGGTTGCCCCCATCGTCGACCTCTTTGTGGCCGCAAGTGATGTGGACTGTCGTGTGGACATGCGTCAATGCTCGGTGCGCCTAAACACACGTGCATTTCTTTGATCTAATGCCTACAAGTTTATTGACCTTGTGGATGTCTTGCTAACATCGTTGTGTAGCCTGTATTTGCAGTTTACAGGCTCTAAAGCTATCCAGGACCAGAACGAACGTTTTTCTGGTACATTTTGCCCTCGTTATACCTATCCCATTTTTTTTTTACACATCCTAACATCCACTGTTGTCGAGATCATGAGGGACAATGTAATTTAGCTCATTAATTCTATTGTTGTGTTACCATGAATTTACTTTCAATGTCGACAATCACTTGAATTTATTTTTCGTTTATCAAAAATTTTGTGCAGCCAGCTTGAAGAATCACTTGACATGGCACGACACCCCCGAAGGAGATCAAGTGCTCAACTTGGAAACCGAGCTGAGTGTTTCCTTGGAGGTACTATGGCACTTTTTGTCCTGCGCTTTCAAGCTAGTTACTTAGGGTCAAAGATTTAGTTTCCAAGAGTGCCATTCGCTTCATCTCAGACCTTCCGTCGACGGGAAACAAATTTCCTGTCATCCTTTGAAGATGGAAATGTCTTAGCCCATCGACAAATGTGGCAGGGCTGCGTTGAGCCGCACTCGAGATTCAAAAACTAGTTCACAGTTCTAACAAGTGGTGGTGGTCCTGCTGCCGCTGCCGCTGCCGCTGCTTGTAGGTCTACACCGTTCCTTTCACAATGCTGCCTCTTTCTGCGGTGGAAGTTCCTGGCAATGCGTAAGCTCATATCCATGCTCCACACAACGTTAGGAGTATACAATGTCCTATGAATGCATAGCACGTAACTCAGTAGTCCGAAAGTGCTTGATGAAATCTTTGTTATTTTCAGTGTAATGGCACTCACTGCACGTGGTACCTTTCCTTTGCTTTTGGATACAGGATTATGCAAACGATGTTGGACCAGTTGATTCCCTTGTTCCTGGACTCCCTATTCTCGGACTACAAGAGGTGGGTGGATGAGGAAGCATTGGGTCTTGGGGTGAACACCATTCCTCTGTCACCGACTCTGGGGTCAAGTCCCCACTTAGCAGCACCGGATTGCCAACCTTTACAAGTTTCTTCATGATCGGACTAGTGGGTAGAGCTTCTAGAACAGCAATGCATTGTTGCATTGGTGCAGTTCATTGCAACTAATTCTTGGAATTTGGCGGATGTGGTGCCGAGTGGGTCTACAGAGTAGAATGCCGCACTGGATAAGAAGCCGAGGGAATCGGCATTGTATATATAAAGTTGCGAATTTAGTGTTGTGATTGTTCTTTCATTGACCAATGAAATTGAGAAGCTGCGTATTCCATATTGATTATGATCGCAGTCAAACTTCAGCGTTGACTATGGTAACCGAAATGGTTAATATTTGTCTTCTTTTCTTTTCTTTTCTTTTCTTCTCTTTAATATATTGATATCCAGCTAATCTTTTTAAAAACAAACTAGATCTGAAAATAGTGTTTTGAATGACTTTTTTTCCATATTAAGTGCAAAAGGGAAGATACGGTAGTAAGAGGTTTTCTTACTTCTGGCTAGCTTAAGTATGATCCATAGTTTTTGTAAGTGCCACTTTTGCAATAAGTTGTGAACCACAAATATGATTTTGTGATGTGTTGTTTTAATTTTTTTTAAAAAATAGAGAACTCTACTTTGATGATGGGATCACAAAAATTAAAAACAATTCTGACCTTATAAATACCGCGTTTACAAATGTTCCACTGAAGTTCAGAAACAGTCCCATGGAGGAACAGTAGGTTTGGAAATAACACTGGAATATTTTAATGATGTGTTTTGTTCATCTTACAGTAATATGAGGTATCTCTAAAGCTCCCATTGTTTACGATTCAATCACCTTGCTGGTAAGTACGAAAATTTTCAAAGAGTGTAAAGCAAGCGTTCAAGCAAAAAGTACATTGGCACTCATATATTGAGTATGTAATAGATGTGCTGCAGACGAATTAAAGAAGATTGCAATTGCCAGTGATCAGTGATCAGTTTTTTAGAAACTGGGCACACTCATCAACAGATTGATATGTCAATATAAAGAGTTGAATAGTTACCATGTGCTCAGTCCTAAAATACAACAACCCACACGAGTTCAAAGCGTCTAAAGTGAGTATGTTTCGACCCCTACAACAATCAATAAGAAACTCAGAGTGCCAATGTTCCAATCATGGCCAAGCGTCACAGTAGTGGGCACAATTCGACACACGTAGGCCAACAACAGTGTTGCACTCACCCAACTACAGCTTCTCTGCATCAGTGAGTCAATTGAAGTTCTTCTCTCCATATCGTTCAGTGTTCGAGGCCAAAATTATAAAAGGCTGTAGCGCGGCATTCATCACCAGATCGCGTGTCCAATACATCTCAACCAACCAGATCTTAGATTAAATTTCAGCAAAGAGAATCGGTAATGCAATCTAATGCTACTCTGGCAATTCAGAGGTCAAGAAACGACTTAAGCAATCTCGGAATCCAGATGAACACGGTTTGCGAATGCAATCACACAACCCTTAATTCCTGACATTGAAGGACGAGCAATTCAACAAGATGACTACAGATTGACGCAGAGAATCAGTTCTCTAATGTAACACCTTGTTCAAATTGATTAGAACAAGGTAATAAAAAGAAATAACGCCATAAACACACCCTGTCTACATCGAGTAAGAATCAGGTCGCCCTCATTACAAGCCAACCGCAGGGTGATTAACTACTCCCAGTAATAACCCACAATATCAGAACTACGCCATCCGCAATTCGATGCCATAGCCAAAAATGCCGTGGTAGTCGACGACGACTGAGAACATCTCTATGAAACGGTGATGGAACCCTTCATGCCAGCACCCTGGTGGGGCTCGCAGTAGTACTCGTAAGTGCCGGCAGTCTTGAACACGATGTCGAACTGCTCATTAGGTGCGTTCAAGTAATCCTCATGGTTGAGTTCCTCAACCTTGACACCCGCGGGAACGGCATCCTCGTCGAACACGACGTTGTGGGGGAATGCCTTGTTGTTGACGAAGGTAACGGCCTCTCCAGCAGCCACGGTCACGTTGCTGGGGTAGAAACCAAGGCCACCATCGTCTGCTCCCATCTTCACAGTGACAGCGTTTGCGGACGCCACCAGCAACAGCGAGCTGGATGCGGCGAGGAGAGCCTTGCCAACAGTCTCCATGGCATCGCTCCTGACCGAAGCCCTGACGGGCGCCATGCGCACCACGGTGTTGGTGGAAACCTTGGCCGGGGCGGCCCTGGTCTCAGCCTTGAGGCCAGTGAAGGTGGGCACAGAGACGGCAGCTGCTATGGACGCCATTTTGCTTCAACGTAAGCGAGAATCTGCGATCACAGCACAAGCAACGACAATTGCAGGCGACGGAGTGAGGTCTGTGAAGCTGTGCTGGTACTTCAGGGGTGATCGAATGGTGCTATAAGATTTCGCAGAGGTGGTGGCTGTGTTGGCTCATCCACTGTGGTCGGGCAATGGGGGTAAGGCAGATAAGCTGTCAGAGCGATGGTAGGCCGCAGGCTTGGGATCGAGATAGAATTCCAGCGACTTTTCTGTGAATGCGGGAGTGATCCCAAGTCCACAAGGCACCCATCTTCCGCTAATCTTCTGTTCTCCCGATCGCTGTGGCAAGTGGGTCCCATGGCGGAGATCTACCGAGGTCGAGCACCGCCATCGACATTTGATGCTAATGCTACGCCACGTTATGAACTCTCGCAGTGTTGGAAAGCTTCCTGATTACATTGAAGTCTGTGTAGATTCAGTGAAACGAAAAATTACTTTTGCCTCATTCAGGGAAATCTGGTTTCTCAGTGGAGGTCTGCGGTTGTACTCCCAGTTGTATAAAATGAACTCAAATAAGTGCCTTGGATCTACTTGTGACTAAGTATGTGTTGAAAAAGGATGACTATTATTCATCATTTTTCAAACAAAATTTCGTGTTCATTTGTTGTCAGAATAAATGAGTTTTAATTTTATTTGGATACCAATTTATTTGGAGGTTATATATATAATTTATTGCAGCATGTTTTATTTCAAATTTTTAACACAATAATTTAAGTGTAAAGCAAGTGATTGTATTGATAGTGATATGTTGATTTTAAAAATGTTTTCTATTAAATAAATTTTGTAAATTGATAATATTTTATAAATATGCTTGTAAAAGCAACCATAAAATAATCAAAGAAACAAAAGAAAATAATAAAAATAAAACATGTTGACTTATAATATGTAGATATATTTTTTTACACAAAAATAAGATATTTTTAATCCATTAATAAAGTGGTGTCATAGAAATGAATCATAACAAAATTCTAAAGAAGTAATACATTCTTATCACATTCAAAGAGAGAAAGTAGACAAATCAAAGCTAGTATCATGGACATATTTAATTACTTGGATAAGAAGTATTAGTTAGAAGTTAAATGTAGGTAGATTTGATAATGTCTAGTGGTTGTGTTCTTGGAAGCTTTGTAGACACAAATTTGACTTTATATATATTAGTAGTTGATTAATACGTTAGAAACTTAGTTAATAAGTTAACCATGTGTTATACATGGTAGTGGCTTGTGGTATAAGTTGGCCATGTAGCATACATGTAGCAAACTTTTCTTGCAAGTTAGACATGTGTCTTACAAATTAGATACATATTAAAGATTCTAGAAAACGTTGCCACATAACTCCTAATTAGATAGTATACATGGAAGTCAGAGTCAAGCCTTCTTCACTCTTATCAATATCTTTCTTGTTCTCAGACTTGTTTCAAGAGTCTTTAATCTTTTCATCTTTGACAATAGCCATTCTAATCTTAATATTATACCATCTTTAAGTAATTATCTCTTCTTTTCTAGTGACATAAGAGTGTATTGATTCATTTGGTTCTTTATAATTTATGTCCTAAACAATCTGATAAGACTATTAATTTATTATTTTTATTTTTTTAGAAGTGAGTAGATCACTCCACTCCTTTAATTGTGCTATAAAGATTGCAGACTATCCACCTTTAAACTAATATTTTTTGTCTTCAAATATTGATTCTTTCTCTAAAGAGAATAGACTATCTTTTCTTTATAGAAATTTTTATTTGATATTAGAAGTTGTAGATTATTCTTCTTTAGTTTGACTTTTAGATTTGTTAAAGTCATTTCTTATAAAGATTGAAGGAAAAATCATGGATAGTATATTCAACAAAAGTAAAAATAGATTTGTAACTATTGCACATCTTCATGAGCTTGTTAATATTTTTATGGTACAAATCTCATATTTTTTCATATATATATATATATATATATATATATATAGATAAAAAGTGAAAGATAGAAGATAAATATAAATAGATTTGATATTGTCTTATGACAAAGCTTCTTAGAAGATATATAGATGCTTATTTGATTTTGTACATGTTTATAGTTAATTGATAGGTTAGAAACTTGGCTAATAAGTTAGCCATTTGTCACATATATAGATAGCTTGTGGTATAAGCTAATAATATTACATACATATAAGAAAATTGCCTTGCTAGTTATAACATATTTCTTGCAAATTAGACACATGTTAGAAGTCCTATAGAACGTCGCCACATAGCTCATATATAGAAACAAGAATAAAACCTTTTTCACTCTTGTTAATGCCATATTAGTCCTTAGTCTTATTTTAAGTCTTTTTAGTCTTCTTGTCTTTAGTAATAGCCATTCTAATTTAATATTATACCATCTTTGAATGATTTTTTGATCTATTTGAATGACACAATAATTTATTGATCTTTTAGTTCTTTAAAATTCATATCTTTGACACATTTTAATAATGTTGATGCTAAAGTTACTATTCCTATACATATGGAAGAAATTAACAATAAGATTCAAAGTCTATGCTAAGAAATTGCATAGTTGAGACAAATAAATAGATCAAGCTCACAATTAAATCCAAGAAGTTTTGCTACTATAAGTATAAGAGAGTCAAGGATTAGTATGCTAGAGAAGTTTAATGAAACAAAATCAAAGTTATGAGGATTTATACAATAAGTAAAGCTCTATGTAAGATTGTAGCTTTTCCAATGTCCTTATGGATTTATTCAAGTTAGATTCATGGATGTACTTCTACTTAGAAGTCATCTTTTTTGATTTGTATTCTTGATAGAAAAAGATTTACAAATATTTTATAATTTAAATTCATTCTTAGAAGTATTTTCTATAACATTTGGAGAAAGTGATCAAGAAAGAGTAGCAAAGACCAAACTTTTATATTTATGATAAGGATTACTTTTAGCTACTATATATACTATTGAATTCCAAAACCTTACTTGCAATGTGGTTTAAAATGACAAAGTCTTTACCAACCAATTTTAATATGGATTAAAAGATAATATAAAAATTTATTATTGATAATATTAAAAATAAATTCACTAGAAGAATGTATTTCTTAAGCCATTGAATATAATAATTAACTTTTTCAAAGACATCAAAACACAAAGACTTAATTGAAGAGGTAAAAATCAACTCATAGCAATAATTTCTAGGTTTTTTGGAACTTATTTATTAAGATTGGAACTAATGCAAATCGATACAATATATTTAAACTTCTTAATGAGCTAGAAAAGCTTCAACATTTTTAAGAAGGTTTATGCCTATATTAAAGAAAATATAAATATATTGGTCAATATTACCTAAAAATAAAAAATAATTACAAAATGAGGAGTTTTGTTGCCAAAAAAGATAATGTGTTGAAAAACGAGTTCATCTAGCTATAATAGGTATGATGTGGCTAGAATCTTGTGCAATATCCAATAAATATCATATTTTTTTGTCAGATCCCTTACCTTGCTTTATAATAGATGTTTGTTTAGGACCAAAAAATCACAAAGTCTTTGCCTTATTATATTTAAATTATTTATTTATTTATTTATTTATATTTATTTAAATTATTGACAAAGACTTTATTAAAAAATTAGAAATATTTTTAATAAAAAAAACTAAACATATTCATGTAAAAATCATTAATATTTATTTTTTTTTTGTCTTATAGAGATGTTATCCATGAAAAATTTCCTTCAGATATAGCAACTAATAGACATAAAAGCTTAATAATATTTGATGCGATTTAATCTCCTTTCAATCTGATTATTTGAGGATTATCATGGTTATAGAAGTATAATCCTTAAATAGATTTAATCTCTCATAACCTTGATTTTTTTCATAGTTTAATGTAAAATTCTATTTTTTAATTAAGAAATTTGAGAGATGTAGAAATAAACTTAGCTTGAAAATCACAAACAAAATCAAGGGTTATTCAAAAAAATTCTAATTACATCTTAACCATTTCTTATTATGAAGCTCTCTGCTTCCAATATACTTGTAAAATTCTTGTATCTTGCATTATTAAATCCTTCAACATGCTATTTATAATTTTGTCAAATAGAATAGGTTTTTGAATGAGTTCTCTATTACATAGTATAAAATTTCTTAAGTATTAATATTAATTCCACATATAATGTAGTCTTACTAATATTCTCTTTTACATGCATAAGCTGACTTGGAGTTTTGTTATTGATAATTGCATCAACAACCATTGAAGTTGATACAAGCTACACATTTATTATTCAATAACATATTGTCTTGCTTGAAAATATACTAAGCACTTAGTTGTAGAAGGTGAACCAAAAATTGCAACAAATAAAGATTCTAATAACCTTAATAGAATCTTAATAATCTTATTTAAAACCTTAATCAAATCCAAAAAAAGTCTTAAAGAAATTATAAAAAAATCATCAAGATATCATAAATAAAATTTAAAAAATATTAAAGAAATTACAAATAATCTTTAAATATATTAAAAATTAATCTTAAATAAATAATAAAGAAGCCTTATAAAAATACTAAATAAATACTAATTAAATTCTAAAATTATTAAAACGAAATTCTAAATAAATCCTAAGTAATCTTAATAAAGTCTTAGCAAAATCCTAAAAATCCTAAAAAAATCCTAAATAGATTTTCAAAAATTCTAAATAAATTTTAAGTATTTTTTTTAAAATTAAATAAATCTTAAAAATCTTAAATAAATTATAAGTACTGTTAATAAAATCTCAACAAAATCTTGAAAGTACTAACAAAATTATATTTAAATTCTAATCATTTTAATTAATTTCAATAGTAGACTTAAAATCTTAATGGTCATTGAATAAATCATTGATCTTGCTTAAAACTTCATACAATTATTCTAATATACTTTTTAATAACGAATACAAGAATTTTGGTACAAAAACCAATTTATTAATTGAAAATAAACATTCAAAGTTTGCTTAGGTATTGACCATCTTTTTTTTTCACCCTTAATGTTGATCTTCTAGTATCAACAACTTCAAATTAAACTTTTTTCTTGTTCTCAATATTGATAATTTTTTTATAGATTCAATTCAGTATTCGTATACAAAACTGTACTTCATTTGAACTTGCAAATTGCTTAAGATTACAAAACCTTCATTGATCCTAAAAATTAAATATTTGAGACTTTTATTAAATCATATTTTAATAATCTTTAATTTAATTGCTTGATTGATTA